TCTATACCTCCTAAAATATATATATATATATATATATATATATATATATATATATATATATATATATATATATATATATATATATATATATAATATATATTTATATATATATGAACTTTACACAGTTTTGTACTCATATTATGTTTAAGAGAGTATTACCTGATGTGATTCATGGTGTTCGAGTGTTTACAGTGATCGAATGATCGAATGATTGCGAAGTTCTCATAGTGTTTATATGCCTGCTGGTTTAAGTGTTCTATTTAGGTGTTATTTTGCGTTCACTACGAATGCCATAACGAAGGCTTCAGGAAACCTGTTCCACTCACTGTGTGTTTTAGGCTACGAATGACGTCATAAAAAACTATGCCCATGCAAGTTTTTGTACATAAAACTTATTATGTAATTTATTATGTAATGTAAGGCTACGTTTAAGGAGTTGTTCACATGTACACACACCTTGTTCATATGAGGGTAGGAACAAATATCTGTCCCTCTTGTTCAGGTGTGTGTGTGAGGGTAGGAACAAGTTCCTAGCCTCATGAACAGGTGTGTGAAGGGGAGGAGCAAATATCTGGCCTTCTGTTCAGGTGTGTAGGAGATGAACAAAAAACGACCCCATGTAGGGGTCGTGACCCCCCCATGTGTGAGGGCGGGGGGACGACCAAATACCTGGTCTTTTGTACAGGTGTATTCAAGGAGAGGAATACATTATTGATGTAAGTTATCACACAAAGTTTTGTACCTACGTAAAAATTTATATAAAAGAAAAGATAAAAGTTATATGTTATGCTTTGGCATTAACCGAATATATATCCTAACGTGCAGCCTCTTCTTCTGAATGTAAAGTGAAAATCAAAGTATATGAACCCATTGAATTGTTTGTTGATTGGTGGCCCACTGGAAACGAGATCGACATGAACAGAACGTGCCCCCTAGTTTTGTGTGTTTATATATATATATACACTAAACAAAGATTATTAGTTGTAATAACCAGAAAACTATCACGGTTGCCTTCGGGTCGCAATTTATATTAAATTATTTCAGCAGTTTGTAAATACACTGAAGAAAACAGCAGGGGCCCTTTCTTGTAATTATATGTTAATTTTCAAAGCGTTCGGCTCAATAAGTGCATTTACCCTGGACTCCAGCTGGCCAGCATAAGGTATATCTCTACGCTGTAATCTCCACCTAACCTCCTGACCACCCACTTTGGCCGTTATGGAGGGGGCATCGACCTCCCTGTAATCTCCTCGACTGTATCCTCTCATAACTGTAACATTGTCATAATGTTGTAAACAGGTGCACGTTCAGCATCGTGTCATTGGTGTTCAATAAAAGTTACCGGCGACGGCTCGCTCTAGTTTTTATTACCACCTTTGTGCAGAGTTCTTTGTTAGAGGGATCCTAAGACCAAAAGTTTAAAATAGGGAAGACTCGTGATATTAGTAATGCCTCACGGGCTTACCATAGCCCGTGCTACTTGGAGCATATTGTTCCTGGTAGCGAATTTTAAACATAGTAAGGCCTCAAACAACGGGGGATCTCGTTACCAGTATGTTTTAAAAAGATGGAGAGTTAGTTATTTATTAATCCATATTAGGGGTTTCTTTTATGCCATATTGGACTTAATTACTCACTGTTTGAATACCCACTCATCACGTTTAGATAGATTGCATATCAGCTGTACCGTGAACAGGTCACATCAAGGTCCTTGAAAGCAAGAACCCAATTTGCACGTGTCCAATACCTGCAAATTGGACACGTACTATTCACGCACTATTCCTTCATGCATCACTGGCATGCGTTTCATAGTATAGTTAGACCTTACCTAACCTAACCTTTCCTAACCCAACCCAACCTAACTTAACCAAACTCAACCTAACCTTACCCAACTCAGCATAACCGAAATCCCAACCTAACCATACCCAACCCCACCTAACCCTGACCTAATCTAAACTAACTCGACCTAACCCAAGCTAACCTAATCTTACCCATCCAACCCTAACCTAACCCAACCTAAACTAACCCAACAAAAAAAAATCCAAAACACCCAAGAAAATAAAAATACAGTATATTTATGTTTTTAATAGATAAATAAGGATAAAAATGAATACAGTACAAAAAATCCAAAACAAACAAAAACAAACAAACAGGCCAACACAAAAAAAATCCCAAGCAACAAGAACAACAACAAAAATACCAAAATGGTCAACAAAAAATTCCAAAATTCCCAACATAAAAGATTTCGAAACACGTAACAAAAAATGCAAAACACCCCAATAAAACGGCAAACAAAATAAAATCCAAAATAGTCATAAAAAAATCTTCAAAACTGCCAACAAAAAATTTCGAAATACTAAAAAATATCCAAAAGGTTTTGGGAATTTAGGAAGATGGAGAGGTATAGGTAAAGGAAAAAGTTTTGAAATGGAGAATTTAAGAAGATGGAGAGTTACATGTGAAAGGAAAAGTTTTAAAATGGAAATTTTAAAAGATGGAGAGGAACATGTGACAGGAAAAGTTTTGAAATTTTTTTGTTTGAAGTTTAGGATTTTTTGTTATGACTGTTTTGGGTATTTTGTCGAGCGTTTTGAATTTTTTTGTTGTGCATCTTTACATATTTTTTGTTGGGTGTTTTTTATTTTGTTGTTGTCTGTTTTGGATTTTTTTTGCTGGGCGTTTTGGAATTATTTTGATGGGCAGTTTTTTTGTTAGTTTTTTTTGGATGTTTTTGTTGGGTTCTTTGGATTTTTTGTTGTTGTTTTGGAAATATTTATTGGGGGTTTTGGAATTTTTTTGTTGGTGTTTGTGGATTTTGTGTTTTGTTGGCCAATTTGGAATTATTTTGTTGGCCATATTGATTATTTTGAGGAGGCATTTTGAATTTTTTTGTTGGGCGCTTTGGAATTCTTTAGTAGGGAGTTTTCATTTATTTATTTTTTTGAAGTTTTTACATTTATGTTAGAAGTTTTGGATTTATTTTTTTGACGTTTTGAATTTTTTTTTTGGGGGGGGGGGAATTTTGGATTATTTTTGTTAGGCGTTTTTTTCAATTATTTTGTTGGACATGTTGAATTTTTTGTTGTTGGCCGTTTTGTAATTTTTTTGGCCGTTTTGGATTTTTTTGTTTGGGAGTTTTGGAATTCTTTTGTTGGCAGTTTTGGATTTTTGTTGTTGGCCATATTGGAATCATAAGCAAATCCTCAAATCCCCTGTTTCAGCAAAGTCTTCTTTGTCTAACTGGACTAGTAAATCTGGCTTGGATATGGTGTTCCAAGTTAAGGTTTGACGAATTGATGTTTGTTGAATCAAAGTTTCATTATACAGTGAAGTATTAACTACAAATAGTTGCTATAAATATGTAATTTTGCTCTAAAATGCAAGTAGCTTTTTAAATCTTAAATGAATGTGCGGATGCTGCTGCTAAGGAGCGCTCACAGGTAACAAACTTGGCACTCGTAAAGGAACCATATTTCCTTGGCCTTCTTCCTACCACTAATAGGCGGTGAGAAACGGCTTTGGTTAGGTTATGTATTGGTCATACACAATTCACTCTTGGAAGCGCCACCCTTCTCAATTTTGTCCTAACTGTATTGTCCCACTTACAGTTACGCAGCTCCTTGTGGAATAACCCGATTTTCAGGGCGATTATCTGTCTTGCTTTCCTAATGTCCCTCGATAAAATTCTTGGTGAATCCGATACCTTTAATATCACTTGCTTTATGCGCTTCTGCTCTCGTATTGGCATTCTCAATGATATTTAGTACCTGTTGAATATCTTGCACCACTGATGGTGCTACGTAGTCTCCCCAGCTTGGTGCCTTCTTTGATAATTACTTACTTACTTACCCTGTTATTTAGTCATGCTTCTATTTTTCTTAACAGGCTGACAAACTGATCATAGACATTCTCAAGAACTGGTTGCCGGAGCGAGGTTTCAGGGATTCTGGCGAGAAAAAAGCTTCACTTGTTCAAGATGTCTTAGATGAAGTTAGTCAGTAATAACCACCAACAGAATTCTCACTCAGAAAGTAAAATATTTAAATTTCATTGTGCTGCATAAATTTAGTGTTCTTGACAAAAGACAGTTTTCTGTGCTAATAACATGAATTTGCCTCTCAACAAACATGAATTGTATAACAAATTATTTATATAAATTTACTTTTTGCATTGTAAAATGATGTTTTATAACAAGTGAAACTGTAAAACCTTATTTCTCCATCCCATGAAAGTAAGAAATTTGGTTGACCAGACCACACGCTAGAAGGTGAAGGGACGACGACGTTTCGTCCAATCGGCTTGAGAATGGTCCAGGACAGACCGAAACGTCGTCGTCCCTTCACCTTCTAGTGTGTGTTCTGGTCAACTTACTTTAGTCACGTTATTGTGACTCATCGCCTGCATAAGAAATTTGGTATTATGTTGCCTTAGCAATAAAACAAATGTGTAACTATATTAAAATGTGTAAAATAGATACAAATAAATATAGTAAAGTACATTCACACTTCATTGAATACAGGGGATGTCGGGTTCACTGCTTAATAACTCTTTGGCGAATGGCTGCAATACGGGACAGCGGTCAGCACGTGAAAATACATCAAAGCACGAGAGAAGTGTTCCAGAAAATATTAACACCTAAATTTGTTTTCATACAATAAAGGCATGTTCTATAATTTTGAAAATATAACATTGTTTACAAGATCTATAAATACATATTTAAATATATTAGAGTCTATTTACAAGCTTGTAAAGGGAATGTCTTTTATGTAACATTTAATGAATATATCCCTCAATAAAATATTCCATTTGGAAAACGTGAAAAGGTATTGTTTTGTTTGTGTAAGAAATAAGCTTCAGCCAAGCGAGATCGGCGGATGTTGCCCGCTGATGTGCTCACTCAACCACTCCTAATACAACTTTGAAAACATACAATTCGTGAACTTTAAAAGGTCCGAGTCTTAATCCTTGGGATGCTTAACAGTTAATAAAAACCAAACTACTTAACTTTCTCTTTTTAATTTCTTTGTAAAATTGGCATTTGGTGTGTTCATGCAAACACTCCAGGAATGAAGGAGATGACTGTGTGGATTTGTTTCAAGGACCAACAGTGCCAAGCACACACACACATATACATATTGATTGTTTACATACAATAAATGCCTCATTGGTAACACTCAGTATTCTAAGGAATTGTAGAATTCGACAAGAATACTTTTTTTCATAAATTCCTTAAATTCGCATTTATCACTCATTGACACTTCAAAATGTTTTAGGATATTTAATTTTGTATCAATTTCTTGTTATGCATGAGTATTAACTTGGAGAAGGATTAAATTTGGTTCATTATGCAAGTTCATAAACCCTAGCTTATCCTTCTTAGGTTTAATATTAATCTTCGGTCATGATGTGTCAGTCACAAGTGATTTCTAACAAAATTTATATATATTGTTTATGAATGAAACTTCTTTTAAACCACGTATACAATTATGGAAGTAAAATTACGAAACATGTTAGCTTTCTTCCTCTCATTTTGTACATTTTCAACCCATTATCTGTTATTTTACCAACAGTTAGAACTTGACATCACAATTTTCTAGTTTATGAATTGCTTATATCACAAATTCGTGGTGCATTTGCACAGTTTTCTATAATTTTATTTGAGGTATATCTTCGTTAATTACAAATTTAGAAAGCACCATTGTACAGCTCACTCAAAGTTTCCAGTTATGTCTTGTTTCCTTGACAAAATCGTGGCATTTGTTGTAATGTCAGGCACAACAAATTAAAAATAATAAAATAGCTTTCTTACAGTTGAAAGCAAAGCAATACAAATCACAACCTTTTATAATTTCCCACTTTGTCCATCAATTTTTAAATGGTTTTATCTGGAACGTTTATAGTCTGCGTAATCTTCTCTTCCCCTCACTATCTATCTTTTCATTCTCTTGTCTGCTTTCCTTGCTGTTTTTCTTTCCTTCAGTAAAATCAGTCTTATTTGTTCTATCATTTGAATTTGCAAGAAGCTTTGCAAATGCTCCATTTTCTATCTTAGCAAGTTCCATGGGATTCCCGTCTTCTACGATTTTCCCATTTTCTAATACAAGTACTCTATTATACTCCAGTAAACTGCTGATCCCATGCTAGAAATAGAAATGGAAAAATTGATTATATATAGACACCAAAAAAATACCACACTGAACTACTATTTAATTTACACAATCATATGTAAAAACTGAAATAAAAATGTAACAAAATTAGTAAAACTGCATATTTTGTATAATAATTGTTAATTCATGTATTCTTATTAATTGGTATTTTTAAATGTTATTATGAACATTATAATTTTAAAAAGTAGTGTTTATTACTACTTTATTAACACAAACTTATTATAAAAGTTATATATATTTGTTTTTAGCTTTATATAAGACGGTGTTAATACAATAGCTGTATAGAACAGTATACCTTTTGGGCTATCCTGTATTATCTAATAAAATTGTATTTACTGTTTTACAATACAATATTTGTTATATATCTACAGCAGTAGGTAAATGTTAACACTTCAAACACACACACATACATATGGCCACGTATGTACATACACAGAGGTGTATATTCTGGACAGAGATTTACATATACTATACACGCAGAAGTCTTATAGTGAGGCAAGACAGAACCACTCACTGTGATGGTGATGACAGTGGCATGGTGGAAGGTGGTGTGGAGGGCACTGTGGAGCGCCCGCTCCGTGGTAGCATCCAGGGCAGAGGTGGCCTCGTCTAGGATGAGGAGGGACGACCGCCTCAGCACGGCTCGGGCCACACAGAAGAGCTGTCGCTGGCCGGCACTCAGGTTCCCGCCGCCCTCACTCACCTCGCTGTCTGTACCGGAGAACAGAGGAAAGGAACAGTCTGGGATTGTTCATCCTGATCAGATTATCGAAGAAGATTGAGAAGGACGTTCCATGAAGAACTTTCTTCTCAATCTTTCTGTATTTTATTTATATTGTTTATAATTCCAAACAACAGGGGGCACCGAGAGGTTTACCTCATTTATCGGTGTATATTCTTTGAGTTTACATCAGTGTCTATTTTTATGTACAGCAATGCGGACACCAAGCGATTGTTATATTTCAGTGATATTCATTTACGAAAAAGTGAAACAAAAATATACAAATCAGGAAAGGAGAAGGGGAAACTATTCTAAGAGTAAAGTACAAGGAAAACGTCAGTAATACAGAAGGGGATACTAACCCAACTTGTCAGGCATGGCGGCCACAAGGTTTCCGAGTTGAGCCACCTCCAGCGCCTGCCACAAGTGTTCGTCTGGACGCTGCCCTAGTGGATCCAAGTTGAACCTGTAGGTATAGACTGATGACACACAGTTCACAACAGTTTGTTGTGCATGATAATATATATTGCCTCAAGAATAATGGGGGTACCTTTGACCAGCCACCGGCTTCCTGGCCCTGTTGAGGCTATTGGAGATGATGTTGACCAGACCACACACTAGAAGTTGAAGGGACGACGACGTTTCGGTCCGTCCTGGACCATTCTCAAGTCGACTTGAGAATGGTCCAGGACGGACCGAAACGTCGTCGTCCCTTCAACTTCTAGTGTGTGGTCTGGTCAACATACTTCAGCCACGTTATTGTGACTCATCGCCTGCATATTGGAGATGATGACCCCCCCCCTAGGTATACTCAGGTAATAATTAACCCTTATACAAAAGAATTTGACTTGCAATGTGTTATAAGAAATTATTTAAAAGTGCATGTAATTCAGGTTAATGGTTGCATCATTCGTTTGCTTCTACTTAGTTGAAAACAAGGTTCACAGACACCCTTACCTGCTCACAGACAGACAACTAAAGGAAACAGTTTCCCATTAACGCCATAAACGGAGAGCGTAGAAAGTCATACTTTAAAACCTAATGCATGAAAGTTTCCCTCGACATGACGGTGCTAAAGTAGTTATGGATGTTGTCCTCCCTCTCCCCAGCCTCATGATGCAACCTGTCCTCTTACAAAGAACATGTGTAACAAAGTTCTTACAATGGAACATACGATCGATTTCGATCGTACGGTTTACACAAGACCAAAAATTCTCATACTATAAAATGGAAGCGGCTCGTAAAAGTGAGAAATTGTCCCGTTGTATATTTTAGGTCCTCTGGTAGGATAGGAGAGGACACTTTTATTTGACCTTGTTTCTTGACGTTGGGAAACCTTAGGAGGACGGGCTGCACGATGTCCGAGGGGGAGTTAAGTGTCCTTAGTCCACCTCCAGCATCCCTCGTGGCCAGAGGGGCCTCGTAGCCTGGTGGATAGCGTGCAGGACTCGTAATTCTGTGGCGCGGGTTCGATTCCCGCACGAGGCAGAAACAAATGGGCAAAGCTTCTTTCACCCTGAATGCCCCTGTTACCTAGCAGTAAATAGGTACCTGGGAGTTAGTCAGCTGTCACGGGCTGCTTCCTGGGGGTGGAGGCCTGGTCGAGGACCGGGCCGCGGGGACACTAAAGCCCCGAAATCATCTCAAGAAGAAGATCCCTCCCTGCTGCTTGATGGCGCCGCACCAGAGGTAAGTGTCCATCTCCTTGTCCTACCTGAGTGCCACACATGAGGCAGGTGTCCCTTACCCTTGCGCCCTTCTTGATGGTGCCACAGATGAGGCTGATGTCTTTCCCACTTACCCTACCTGATGGTGCCACAGAAGAGGTGAGTGTCCTGAGGGATGACAGAGATGGACCCTCGGAGGAGAGCCAGAGGGACACTCAGTATGTCCGTCCCATCGATCAGTATCTTGCCCTCGCTGGCTTCCACCAGTCGGTACAGGCTCAGAATCAACGAGCTCTTGCCACTGCCGGTTCGTCCACACAAGCCAACCTGTGGCAGGTGAGGGGTGGTGGAGATATTGGTTGTAGAGGTTGTGGTGATAGTGATGATAGTGGTAGAGATGATGGTGGTAGAAGATTTGAATTGAATTGAACTGAACTGCGGAATTAAATGGAGTCCAAATATCTCGCCTACTCAGCACTACAGCAGGAGAGCTCCCTCATGAACACAAACACCCCTGACACCCCTCACGAAATAACAACCACCCCCTTCACATACGCATACACTGTGCCCTACACACACACACACACACACACATTAGAAAGAACTTTTAGACATTAGAAAGAACTTTTTCAGTGTCAGAATAGTTAACAAGCGGAATGCATTTGTCAGTGATGTGGTGGAGGCTGACTCCATACACAGTTTCAAATGTAAATATGATAGAGCCCAGTAGGCTCAGGAATTTGCACACAGTTGATTGACAGTTGAGAGGCGGAACCAAAGAACCAAAGCTCAACCCCCGCAAGCGCAACTAGGTGAGTACACACACACACACACACACACACACACACACACACACACACACACACACACACACACACAACATGATAATGAACCTGTGGGTCTGGTAGCTGAGTGGACAGCGCGCAGGATTCTTAATTCTGTGGCCTGGGTTCGAATCCCTGACCAGGCAGAAACAAATGGGCAGAGTTTCTTTCACCCTGGTGCCTCTGTTGCCTAGCAGTGGGTAGGTACCTGGGAGTTGGCCACCTGTTGCGGGCTGCTTCCTGGGTGTGTGGGGACAAAAAATAGTAGGTAATAACAATTGATTGACAGTTGAGAGGCGGGCCGAAAGAACAAAGCTCAACCCCCGCAAGCACAACTAGGTGAATACACCCCCAGACATCCCCTTCATTTTGCCACGCCCCGCCACGCTCAAGACACCCACCAACACCCACCCCCGCAACACCCAAACTCCCCCCCCCCCCGCATCTCCTCAACACCCCCACGACAGCTATCACACCACCCAGACACCCTAACCTCAACACACCCCACCTCCAAGACCCTCACCGTCTCCCTACCTTCTCTCCAGCACTGATGGTGAACTTGAGGCCAGTCAGTACAGGTTCCAGAGATGCATCGTGAGTCAGAGTGACATCACAGAACTCCAGCTGACCCTTGAGGGGCCACCCTGGGGGTAACCCTGATGATCTGCTTGACTCTGACCCAGTGGATGACCCTGACCTCCATGACCTGTGACTGAGTTGGCTCGGGCGTCTACGGTAGTACTGCACCGTGTCTGGAATACAACAAACCACATAGGCTAATTCCATTGATTTAACGGTTCCTTTAATTATAAATTAGCTTATTTTTTCAACCATATTTATTTAACAAAAATATTAATTTGGTAATGTATGAAAGCAATTGGAGGTTAATATATTGCCAACAAGTGCATTATTTGTGGACGAGGTGTCTGATATTCAGTAGCTGCAGTGAATGCTACACAGGTTGTAGTGTATGTAGCAGTGCCAGTTACATGTCACTGTTACCTTGCATAGTGTTGCGACTATGCAACACTATGCACGATACCCATTACATCCCAGTTTACCCCATCGAGGCCCACAGGACTCTCACCCGGTGCGTGGTGAGGCTGGTGACACCCGTCTTCCTCCTGCTGCTCCTCCTCCTCCGTGGGCAGGGACGCGTACTGCTGCACCCGCTCCACGGCGTTGAGGCACATCTCCGTGTCGGCCATGAACCTCACGACCCAGTTGAGGTAGACGGGCACCAGCAGGGTGTAGTTGATGGCCAACCCCACCATGGCTGGGCTCAAGCTCCTGGCCACCACCGTTGACCAGAGCAGCGAGGCCGAAGTCGCGAAGAACACTATGATCCCTCCGATGTAGTCCTGTAGATGTGGGGGAGGCTTGTTAGGAGCAAGTGATTATTTTCTACCACAGACGTGGCCACACATTTACAATGCTAATCAGCATATATACACACAGAGAGATCACACTAACGTGATGCATCAAATGAACAAATCCACAAGGGCCGTTACGAGGATTCGAACCTGCGTCCGGGAGCATCCCAGACATTGTCTGGGATGCTCCCGGACGCAGGTTCGAATCCTCGTCACGGCCCTTGTGGATTTGAGCATATATATATTTTCTTCTGTCCTCCATGGACAGGGTTAGAGATCAGTTAAACATATAGTTCAGGGATTTATTGAACAATCAACCACAGAAGGTGATTCGGTACTTTTAAAATGCTAAGCTAACCTACATACGTAAATACATAGATACACAGATTTACGTATGCGAGTACGTGTGGGGATGTTTTAATGGTTGTGAGCGGGTAATGATACTACTGAGCGTATATAGTTGACTAGATCACTTGTGTGGTTGCTGACGTGACCCAACCCGTCCTCAGACCAAGTCCATTCTATCCAGCGGTCGACCCCAAAGACGCATTTATCAATATTAATATAATTTATTCAAAATAGAAATTTTCTCAAGCATAAATTAATATTATTATATTTTATGCATATTTAGGCATTGATTAGGATAGGTGTTTAGGTTCTGTTGGCGATTATTTGTATTTGTAGCACATAGGTTTAATACAAATTATTAAAAATTAATGTGTAAAGGATAATGTTGGCCTAACTAGTATACTGTAACTACAGATTTTAAATATTGCTAAACAGCACACTCAGAGGACAAGAGCTATTTTTTAATGGATACTTAAACAAGTGAATTAAATTGAGCCTGACCATACCACTTGTATAACAACCTGTTTATGCTGGCTGTTGTTGTTATTTTAAATTTAGCTACTCAGAACGAAATGTCCATGTAGCACGGGCTATGGTGAGCCCGTAATTATGCTGGCGTTCTGCGGTCCTTACACATTTATCTGCATTTTTTTTTTTACTGCCTGTCAATCCGGGGGTGACGTACTGTCGGCACCACTCACCAGACAGATGCCCAGCCACCTGTTGCCAGCGTGGAGGAGAGTGAAGGCCGCCAGGTGGGTGTCGAGGCGGTGAAGGAGGACGTCCGTGAACCTCCTCTGGTCCCCATAGGCCCGGATCACCACGGCGCCTCCCACGCTCTCGCTCAGGTGACTGTAGAGGGGAGACCGAGACAAACTCTCCAGACGCTTCAATTCCCTGTTGGTGGAGGGGGGAATGAGGGTATAGAGGGAGCGGCTTGTATTATATCAGGGGGGCATCTATGGAGGTAGTGGCTATAATAGAGGGAAGGGCATATTTGGAGAGAAGGATTATAAGAGGAAGAGAGAGAGAAAAGGGCATACAGAGCGAGGTACGAAGGAAGGAGAAAGATTTAAAGGAGTGGTATGAAGAAGAAGAAAGAATGGAAGAATTTGTACATGCCTACCATTTATGCATCTTTTTTATTAACAGATGGAAGGGGTCAGATGGAACAGGGAGATGGAATGAAGGAGGATAAGATGGAATGGAAGGCAAGGGATAGAGGCTTGATGATCCTCTATTGTACACCGAATTTTGTTCTTGCCCATAATTTTAGGGTCCCGGTAGTACAGTCGGGTTCGTTCTCGACGCACAATAGAGAATTCCAGGATCGATTCCCGGGCGGGACAGAAATGGTTGGGCACATTTCCTTCCACCTAATGCATCTGTTCACCTAGCAGTGAGTATGTACTCAGAAGTTAATCAGCTTGTTGTGGGGTTGTATCCTGGGTGGGGGTTAGTAATTTGATCTTGGGGCGGGGACCTCGATAAAGGCCAAACGTGTATGAACACACTCTGGCTTCCTGTCCCTCGACATAATGAGTTATTATTTATTATGAGTTAATGCTAGAGAGCTCTCGGAATACTATAGTTCTCCCTATATAGATTAACTGCCATGAAGAAGAGTGAGAATCATAGAAAACGAAGAAGACTGAAGGGGGGAACACTAAAGAACAGCATTCGGACTCGGAACATTTAAAATAATTCTTATTAAAATTTCAGAATGATAATACAAACATTGTTATTTATATAACAAGCATACATTAGAGATAAAATACACTGGAGTATTCGTGGGTATACAAAATATATACATGTCAATAAATACGAGGGCATTGTGACTATTGTTAATTTTCTTATGGATATTGTCCATTCTACGAAAATACTTTCTACCATCTAGAGAGTGAGAAAACGCTAAACAAACGCTAAAGGCAATCCTTATAAAATAAAAAAATACCTAATATAAACATAAATAAATACTTTATTACCAACATTACCAATACCGAGGCCTATATTGCAGTCTCCGTGGTGTAGTGGTAAGACACTCGCCTGGCGTTCCGCGAGCGCTATGTCATGGGTTCGTATCCTGGCCGGGGAGGATTTACTGGGCGCAATTCCTTAACTGTAGCCTCTGTTTAACGCAACAGTAAAATGTGTACTTGGATGAAAAAACGATTCTTCGCGGCAGGGGATCGTATTCCAGGGACCATAGGATTAAGGACTTGCCCGAAACGCTACGCGTACTAGTGGCTGTACAAGAATGTAACAACTCTTGTATATATCTCAAAAAAAAAAAAATAAAATAAAAAATATTACCAACACCGAGGCCTATATTACCAACACCGAGGCCTATATTACCATCACCGAGGCCTATATTACCAACACCGAGGCCTATATTACCAACACCGAGGCCTATATTACCAATACCGAGGCCTATATTACCAATACCGAGGCCTATATTACCAACACCGAGGCCTATATTACCAACACCGGGGCCTATATTACCAACACCGGGGCCTATATTACCAACACCGAGGCCTATATTACCAACACCGGGGCCTATATTACCAACACCGGGGCCTATATTACCAACACCGAGGCCTATATTACCAACACCGAGGCCTATATTACCAACATCGAGGCCTATATTACCAACATCGAGGCCTATATTACCAACACCGAGGCCTATATTACCAACACCGGGGCCTATATTACCAACACCGGGGCCTATATTACCAACACCGAGGCCTATATTACCAACATCGAGGCCTATATTACCAACACCGAGGCCTATATTACCAACACCGGGGCCTATATTACCAACACCGGGGCCTATATTACCAACACCGAGGCCTATATTACCAACACCGAGGCCTATATTACCAACATCGAGGCCTATATTACCAACACCGAGGCCTATATTACCAACATCGAGGCCTATATTACCAACATCAAGGCCTATATTACCCACACCGAGGCCTATATTACCAACACCGAGGCCTATATTACCAACACCGAGGCCTATATTACCAACACCGAGGCCTATATTACCAACACCGAGGCCTATATTACCATCACCGAGGCCTATATTACCATCACCGAGGCCTATATTACCAACACCGAGGCCTATATTACCAACACCGAGGCCTATATTACCAACACCGAGGCCTATATTACCATCACCGAGGCCTATATTACCAACACCGAGGCCTATATTACCATCACCGAGGCCTATATTACCATCACCGAGGCCTATATTACCATCACCGAGGCCTATATTACCATCACCGAGGCCTATATTACCAACACCGAGGCCTATATTACCATCACCGAGGCCTATATTACCATCACCGAGGCCTATATTACCAACACCGAGGCCTATATTACCAACACCGAGGCCTATATTACCATCACCGAGGCCTATATTACCAACACCGAGGCCTATATTACCATCACCGAGGCCTATATTACCATCACCGAGGCCTATATTACCAACACCGAGGCCTATATTACCAACACCGAGGCCTATATTACCAACACCGAGGCCTATATTACCAACACCGAGGCCTATATTACCAACATCGAGGCCTATATTACCAACACCGGGGCCTATATTACCATCACCGAGGCCTATATTACCAACACCGAGGCCTATATTACCAACACCGAGGCCTATATTACCAACACCGGGGCCTATATTACCAACACCGAGGCCTATATTACCAACACCGAGGCCTATATTACCAATACCGAGGCCTATATTACCAACACCGAGGCCTATATTACCAACATCGAGGCCTATATTACCAACATCGAGGCCTATATTACCAACATCGAGGCCTATATTACCAACACCGAGGCCTATATTACCAACATCGAGGCCTATATTACCAACACCGAGGCCTATATTACCAACACCGAGGCCTATATTACCAACATCGAGGCCTATAGAGTCCACCAAATGGGAGATGAAGTCATTCACCATCACCTGAGCTGAGCGGCTAGACTCACCTAGCCTGCACCTCACCTCTAGTCGAGTGTGAATCTCCCTTACCATACGTGGGAAAACTGCTCGACCTGTTGTACAGGTTCAAATACCTCCAAGTTTTTCACAGATTAAGGAGCAAATCAAGAAGAAAATACTCCCAACTATCAAAAGTCACCACAGAGCCAAAGTAGCGGAGGGAAGATCCACTGTGATATGGTACGAACAAGCCACTGGGTACTACTCTTTCAAGCCTGACAAAAAGATATCCAGAGACATTGCAGTAGCCATACACAGACTCAGACTTGCTTACAAACGCTGCTGGGAGGTAATATACCCAATAGTTAAAGAGTGTCATATCTGTGGAACAGAAGCAGAGGCGCCACTATTACACTACTTACTGGAATGTGAAGCTACTGAATCTCTGCGTATCAAACTAAACGTTAATCCAACGACAGCAGCTGCATTAGATGCACATTCCACAGCCACTACAATGATTAGAAAAGCCGTTAAAGAATGGGACTCACTAGTGAACATTCTGCACCTACATCCACCACCAAGATAATGTTATTAAAACACGACTAAGACAGAAGCGAAAAAGAAACAGGGAAAAAGGAGGAAACCCCACCTCTATTTAAAACTGACCCAAATATCAGAGTAACAAGGTTATCGTGAATAACCGTACTCAATTAAGGGCTCACCATAGCCCGTGCTTCATGGATATTTCGTTCTGAGTAGCTAAATCTACAATCAACAACGACAACAACGTGAGAAATCAGTTACAGCCCCGCTCCTGTGCCAGGTAAGTCCACTACGGGCTCACCATAGCCCGTGCTACTTGGAACTTTTTGTTCCCAGTAGCTGAATCTAAAACAACACCATGATAAACGAAATTACGGGTTATTCATGTCCGTACCACCTCTTGGGTGGTTTAATCTTCATCAATCATGATAAATACCATATCTCACCTGAAGCTGTTATTTATAGAGGTTCACACCACCTCGCAGCCCTAGTGGATTTTCTCACTTTATATAGATGTATATGCGAACAAGCTTGAATGGTCCCCAAGCCAATATGCAACTGAAAACTCAACACACCAGAAGGATTCGAACCCAGTCAGCCAGGAGCCCTATGTACCATGGCGTACCTGGTTCCTTAACCACTCCGTCACAGTGACTGTACAAAATTCATTGGTAGCCGAGGCTACCAATGAATTCGAATTCTTCGAATTCTTCTGGGGTGTTGGGTTTTCAGTTTTATATGTATATATATATATTTAGGGGTACCACCACTGGTTTAATTAAAGGGACCCACATCCTCGAAGAAGAAAATAAATAGTGTTCAGAGAAGACTTTGTGGATTCTCACTGAATACTTTAATCTTTTCCTCTCCTACCACCCCTATTATTTTTTTTATTTTTTTATTTGATTTTATTGTAATGCTACAGTTTACAGAAAACACACACTTATACAACAATATACCATATATATATATATATATATATATATATATATATATATATATATATATATATATATATATATATATATATATATTTATAATTATTCATACATACACAATTCATATAAAGAGAAAATGCCTTGAACATTCTTCATCGTGAACAACCCTAGTCATGAACACATTCATCATTAAGAACACACTTAAGCCTTCATGAACACAGCCCTCATTAAGGGTCTCGGCAGAATATTTGGGTTCGTACTCTATCTCCAATCGGGAATCCCGGTTTCGAGTTAGGCACAATTTCGAGTCCCGGGAATTAGGCAACTGTCAAGGCTTGCCCCGTGGGGAAGGTCAGTAGTTCGATCTTACTGTAGATCGAACTAGACATTCCCCCCTCCACCCTCGAACTACTGAGGGTGGAGAGGGGAATGTCGAAATAATAATAAGGCATATACATATATACAGACAGGCTGCCTGTTCCCGACAAAACTAATTCTTAAGAAGACTCCCTCGTCAAGAACAACCCCCCATGAAGCAGACCTCACCTGGAGGAACACCTGAAGAACTTCTGGACGGCGTAGTAGATGCCGCAGATGGGGGCGGCCACAGCCAGGAAGGCCGGAGTGATGACCACATTCACCAGCACCGCCGAGGTCACCAGCAGCACGAAGAACAGCAGGTGAGTCACCGACCTCGCCAGCTCCTGGGGAGCAAGAGGTGGAGGTGGTCACAGAGGCACAGCAGGAGGAGGAGGGCGTTCAAGCAAACATAGCAGGAAAGAAGATATTTCCATGTATAATGCATGCTCTATCTCCCCCTACGACCAACAGATGGCGTTAAGAACCGCTACACGCAGGTTGACAACCCACCTTGTCAATCATGGCAGTGTCCGTTGTGAACCGGTTCATGATCCTGCCGGCAGGTGTCGTGTCGAAGAACCGGATTGGGCAGCGGACGAGGTTTTCCAGCATGTCCTGGTGGAGGCGCCTCCTGCCTCGGCCGGCAGCGAACTGAGCCAAGAGGTTAGTGGAGAGGGAGAGGACGATGGCGGTGACGGAGAGGAGAGCATACACGGTGAAGTAGTAGCGCATCTGTAGAGGAGAACACCTCACTTTATGAGTCGACTTTCTCCCGTCATCGTCAAGTTCACGTAAATATACACAACGTGCTTCTCCTTGCTCACATTCATTGATTCACCACAAGAGTACCACTATATTTACCACTAGAGTACCACATTACTGACCCCCAAGAGTACCACCGAACTATACTGAAGAGTAATATAGTGCTTCTTCCAGTTCCATTCTTACTGACAGCGGACTGGAATGGCTCACCGTGTCACTGACGAAGGTCTGGTACCTCTCACGGATGTTGATGATGTGGGGCTGGACAGGCGACGACCTGCCTGTAGGGTCGTCCGCCTGCTTCGAGTACGAGTCGAAGGCCTGCCAGTTTTTGTGTTCCGTAGCATTCCAGGAATTGGCCTCCCCAGACCAGCTCTCCAGCCAGAAGTCCAGCGCCACTGACACACCTTGGGAGGGAGACAGAGATCAGTTGTGAGGTGGGAGGAGAGAGGGGAATTATCAGGAGAAAGCACCAAGCCATGGCGACTATATATAGTGCTTGGAAGGGGTCAGGAAAAGGATTTAGGATGGTACGGGGGAATAAAATGGTGCCCAACCACTTGGACGGTCGGGGGATTGAACACCAACCTGAATGAAGCGAGACCGTCACTCTACCGTCCACCTCAAGTGGTTGATGTGGGAGGAGAGAATGCTGTTAAATCAGGAAGTAGGAAGAGAAACAGTTGTGTATAGAAATGCAACAATGAAAATAGGCTGACAAAGATACATACTAAATGTCATATGCTACTGTACCTTAGACACACGCACACACACTTGCGTGCGCGTGTATGTGTCTCTGAGGTACAGTGGTACACTGGTTCGTAAACGAATAGACTAAAAAAGTCATACATTTAACACGGGCGGTACACGCACAAGGGGACACAGATGGAAGCTGAGTACCCAAATGAGCCACAGCGACAATAGAAAGAACTTTTTCAGTGTCAGAGTAGTTAACAGATGGAATGCATTAGGCAGTGATGTGGTGGAGGCTGACTCCATACACAGTTTCAAGTGTAGATATGACAGGGCCCAGTAGGCTCAGGAATCTGTTCACCAGTTGATTGACAGTTGAGAGGCGGGACCAAAAAGCCAGAGGTAAACCCCCGCAAGCACAGATAGGTAAGTACACACACACACACACACACACACACACACACACACACACACACACACACACACACACACACACACACACACACACACACACACACACACACACAGGTGTGTGTATGTGTGTGTGTTCTACGATCAGTGTGTGTTCTACGATCAGGTGACACAGATTAAGCAAGAAAGAGAGGGCTGGGCGGACTGCATTTTCTTGGATTGTCGGAAAGCCTTTGACACAGTACCGCATAAGAGGCTGGTACATAAGCTGGAGAGACAGGCAGGTGTAGCTGGTAAGGTGCTCCAGTAGATAAGGGAGTATCTAAGCAATAGGAAGCAGAGAGTTACGGTGAGGGGTGAGACCTCCGATTGGCGTGAAGTCACCAGTGGAGTCCCACAGGGCTCTGTACTCGGTCCTATCTTGTTTCTGATATATGTAAATGATCTCCCGGAGGGTATCGATTCATTTCTCTCAATGTTTGCGGACGATGCTAAAATTATGAGAAGGATTAAAACAGAAGAGGACTGTTTGAGGCTTCAAGAAGACCTAGACAAGCTGAAGGAATGGTCGAACAAATGGTTGTTAGAGTTTAACCCAACCAAATGTAATGTAATGAAGATAGGTGTAGGGAGCAGGAGGCCAGATACAAGGTATCATCTGGGAGAGGAAATTCTTCAGGAGTCAGAGAAGGAAAAAGACTTGGGGGTTGATATCACGCCAGACCTGTCTCCTGCAGCACATATCAAGCGGATAACATCAGCGGCATATGCCAGGCTGGCCAACATACGAACGGCATTCAGAAACTTGTGTAAAGAATCATTCAGAACTTTGTATACCACATATGTCAGGCCAATCCTGGAGTATGCAGCCCCAGCATGGAGTCCATATCTAGTCAAGGATAAGACTAAACTGGAAAAGGTTCAAAGGTTTGCCACCAGACTAGTACCCGAGCTGAGAGGTATGAGCTACGAGGAGAGACTACGGGAATTAAACCTCACTTCGCTGGAAGACAGAAGAGTTAGGGGGACATGATCACCACATTCAAGATTCTGAAGGGGATTGATAGGGTAGATAAAGACAGTCTATTTAACACAAGGGGAACACGCACAAGGGGACACAGGTGGAAACTGAGTGCCCAAATGAGCCACAGAGATATTAGAAAGAACTTTTTTAGTGTCAGAGTGGTTGACAAATGGAATGCATTAGGAAGTGATGTGGTGGAGGCTGACTCCATACACAGTTTCAAGTGTAGATATGACAGAGCCCGATAGGCTCATGAATCTGTACACCTGCTGATTGACGGTTGAGAGGCGGGACCAAAGAGCCAGAGCTCAACCCCCGCAAACACAACTAGGTGAGTACTAGGTGAGTACACACACACACACACACACACACACACACACACACAAGACCGTCAGTACCTCCATCCTCTCCTCCAGGGGCACCTCCTCCTCCAACTCGAGGTCCTCCTCCAGGTCGCTAGGGGAGGACAATATGCGCCCCAGGTGCCACTTGTCCCCTGATGGGGTACACGGTCGCTTCGAGGATCTGGAATCCAGGGGGTTGGCATTATCATTTTTATAAAAATATTTACACTTTTCGATGATTTTAACAATATGGGTATTCACTGTCACAGGTACTATACCATGTTTTACGTTGGTAACGCAATGTGTTAACACGCTGGATAACCGTACGTGTTAACACCCCTGGATAACATGACGTGATAACTCCCCTGGATAACCAAAGAGTCATAATTAAATATTAACACCTTAGATATACATATATTCTAAAAAACCATATATACAATAAATGATAAGTAATGATCTGCTCTCTCAAAGTCATTAATTTTCGTATTAAAACAAAACGAATAGACTGAAAGAGTCAATTATTCACTACTGAAGTGATGTATTTATTCACTGTCTTCAGGAGGAAGACCTACCTGAGGGAGGCGTTGGAGAAGAGCCTGTGTAGCATGCTGGGTCGGGGAGCTACTGCTGGGGAGGACTTGAGGCGAGGCAGCGGCCGTGTCTGGGGAGGAAGGCTCTTGGCATGGCGGGGAAGACCCTTCCTCTGCACCTGAGATGTCTTGCGGCCGAAGGCTGGGGCGCTCGATTTGATTCTGCGAGGGGGGCAGGTGTGGGTATTAGTGGGCATGGGTCGGGGGCCAAGGACGGGGGGGGGGGGTTCGGGTGTGGATGTGAAGGGAGGTGTGATGTGAGTGGGTGGAGCATGGGTATTATGTGAGTGGGTGGTGCATGGGTATGATGTGAGTGGGTGGAGCATGGGTATGATGTGAATGGGTGGAGCATGGGTATTATGTGAGTGGGTGGTGCATGGGTATGATGTGAGTGGCTGGAGCATGGATATGATGTGAGTGGGTGGAGCATGGGTATTATGTGAGTGGGTGGTGCATGGGTATGATGTGAGTGGCTGGAGCATGGGTATGATGTGAGTGGGTGGAGCATGGGTATGATGTGAGTGGGTGGAGCGTGGGTATGTGGGTATCATGTGCAGGAATGGGGTCAGTTGAAGGATTTGAGTATATTTAATGTGACAGACTAAATTCAACAATTAAAATATTGCAAATTTAATTGACTGGATAAACTAATTAGTAGGCATCCTGCCTACTAATGCAGGATGTGGGGTGCATTAGTAGGCATCCTGCCTACTAATGCAGGATGTGGGGTGCATTAGTAGGCATCCTGCCTACTAATGCAGGATGTGGGGTGCATTAGTAGGCATCCTGCCTACTAATGCAGGATGTGGGGTGCATTAGTAGGCATCCTGCCTACTAATGCAGGATGTGGGGTGCATTAGTAGCAACACATAAACTAATTACAATATCAGGAAATTATCTGATTCCGCATATCTGAAGTGCTGACTGGAGACACTCACCAGGAGTGTTGACTGGAGACACTCACCAGGAGTGTTGACTGGAGACACTCACCAGGAGTGCTGACTGGAGACACTCACCAGGAGTGCTGACTGGAGACACTCACCAGGAGTGCTGATTGGAGACACTCACCAGGAGTGCTGATTGGAGACACTCACCAGGAGTGCTGACTGGAGACACTCACCAAGAGTGCTGACTGGAGACACTCACCAGGAGTGCTGACTGGAGACACTCACTAAGAGTGCTGACTGGAGACACTCACCAGGAGTGCTGACTGGAGACACTCACCAAGAGTGCTGACTGGAGACACTCACCAGGAGTGCTGATTGGAGACACTCACCAGGAGTGTTGACTGGAGACACTCACCAGGAGTGCTGACTGGAGACACTCACCAGGAGTGCTGACTGGAGACACTCACCAAGAGTGCTGACTGGAGACACTCACCAGGAGTGCTGACTGGAGACACTCACCAAGAGTGCTGACTGGAGACACTCACCAGGAGTGCTGACTGGAGACACTCACCAAGAGTGCTGACTGGAGACACTCACCAGGAGTGCTGACTGGAGACACTCACAAGACATGCTAACAGCACGACTGACAGCAAACATTTAATCAGCAGAATTTGTTCAAATATTCACTACCTCCTGAGGCCACAGAAGTTGGAATGAAAGTATAAAGCACAAACTTTGTCTGCAGACAGACAGCATATCTTAAAACTAATCCTGCGTGTTTTTCTCCAAACACTATATACCAATTGGTTTACATGGCGAAGGAAGGACATTATAAGAAAACGTTAAACTAGGAGAGGACAGGAGGTAGGATAGGGGGAGGGGAGGGCACTAAATGAAGAAACGGTGCCCAACTTTTGGACCATCGGGGATCGAACGCCGACCTGCACAAACGCGATGTACTAGTGACATGTCCAAGTCACCGGGTTAAATGAAACCTAGATCCTCACAGTCTTCCAAAGAATGCGCTGCACTGAAGAACCAAAGAGAGAACTCAAAGCTTGGTAATCGAACTGGAGAGGGGTCGGGACTCACCTGAAGAGCTGCAGCTTAGCGGAGTGCGTGCGATAGAGGGAGTGCCTGGAGAGTGGAGGCGTGAGTGCAGGTAGGTACTCGCACTCGTCTCCGGGGAGGAGGGCATTATGGGAGACATGGCGGTTGATGCTGTAATGCCGCATGAGCCTGTCCCTGCTGCTGGTGTTGGGGTCGTGGCTGTAGTCGTCCTCCTCCTCCCGCTCCGCGCCGCTCTGCACCGCCCCACAGCGAGGGACACACACACACACAACGGTCAGCAACATATCACCAAAATAAGGCACCAAGCTCAGAAGACTACACAGAAAACGGTATTTTTTTCTCAGTTAGGGGAAACCGTGGTTTCATTGAGGGAATCTGGGGCCAGATTCACGAAGCAGTTACGCAAGCACTTACGAGCGTGTACATCCTTCCTCAATCTCTCACGGCTTTGGTTATGTTTATTAAACAGTTTGCAAGCATGAAAACTTACCAATCAACTGTTGTTATTGTTATAAACAGCCTCCTGGTGCTTCGGCGCTCAATAACTGCTTAATAATTGTAAACAAAGCCGCCAAAGATAGAGAAAAGATGTACAGGTTCGTAAGTGCTTGCGTAACTGCTTCGTGAATCTGGTCCCTGGACACTTATTTGAAAAGCTACCCGCTCTCTCGATTTACCATTCCGTAACAAATGTAACTGTTTAACTTAACCAGAAACGTAAACAAAATAATTGTTCTAAATAATCTATTCGCAAATATACGAACCCAAACAGCTCCCCTAATATTATTGGAGCCGATACATAGAAAGCGTCAATATTATCGTGCTTTAAATTTCATTAACATTTCTTTGTTGTATTATTAATAGATTAGTCGATGCCATAAGAATGTGACGTATTGAGAGGACAATACAATGCTCCTGGACGCAGGTTCGAATCCTCGTCACGGCCCTTGTGGATTTGTTCATTTGATGCATCACGTTAGTGTGATCTCTGTGTGTAACAATACGTCCTTGGCCCTGACACCGCCCAGGTGTTAGAATGTTTGTTTATGTTTAGTATAAAGTAATTATTAAAGTAAACAATAGTATGATAATCTTCCACTGTGCAATGGTAGGAGTTGGGTTCCCCTCTTGCACCCTCAACTCTCCACTCCCACTCTCCCTCTCCTCCCTCTCCTACCTCCTACTCTCCCTCACCCACCTCTCCTCCCTCCCACTCTCCCTCACCCACCTCTCACCTCTACACTCTCCCGTCGGGAGTTCCTGAGGAAGGACGCCCTCTGCATGGTGATCCTCGTGACTAGTCTCAGGAGCACCCAGCGCTCCCTAGCCGTGCGTCCCTCCCGGAGGCCCAGGGCATCCCTAGGGGCTAGGCGGCCCTCGCTAGCCCCCCACTCTTTCCATAACTCAGGGGCGGCTAGGGACACCTCTGAGGGACTCCCCTGGAGCGTGATCCTTCCCCCTTCCAGGTAAATTATCTGTTAACAAGACACAAAAGAAGTAAATTAAGATAAAGAGATTCATGGAAGAAATAAAAAATAAAATAATTTAATTGTGCCTGAGAATATGATTTGTGGGAGTGTGAGGAAGGCGAGTACAAGAATGTTTTGATGAGTAAGTGTACGGGGATGAGTGAGTGTACGGGGGTTTGATGAGTGTATGGGAATGAGTGTAGGGAGTAGCGGATCGAATATTGTGTGTGTGTGTATGGGGGGGGGGATGCAATTGCATATTTTGAGGGGTGTTGGTGGGAGTGTGTTGGGGGTGGGGGGTGCGGCGTACATACCCTCACCTTGTCAGCGTGTTGCGTAAGGTGTGTGAGATGCGTAGCAAGGACGACGGTCCGACGCCGACGCAGCAACAACTGGACGATGCCTTCCTGCCACACTTGGGCCCCGACGCCGGCGTCCAGGGCGGAAAAGGGTGCATCCTAAGACAAAAAAAAGGAGGGTGAAAGGGGGAAAGTTATCCTGTGTAGTACTATAGCGATGGAGTAGAAAGGGAAAGGGGGGGTGGGGGAGGATGGAATAGTAGGAGGCTGGAAGAGAGAACAGGAAAGAATTGGACCAATGGAATACAAAGACTACAATTACATTTCATAATGCTGTATGTGACAAATAATACAGTGATGACACTGTGCGACTCGTGGTTACAGCCAGGCTTCTGAGAGGGGCTTATTGACCTCAGGGCTGGCATGCTTCAGGGCTCTGCTCTAGGCTACCGTGGTACTCTTCTGCTGTAGAGCTTTAAGGGATTAGAAAATAGAGTTTCTATGTCATATCTGATAAGTATATGGCATAGAGATTGACCACAGGGATCTACAAGTCTGATTATGACACTCGGAGACGAGAGGATATTGAGCACAGTGTTCCTACAGGTTTATTGGGGACTACCACAGGGGCTACAAGTTGCCTACTGTGGACTACCTCAGAGCTACAAGTAGCCTACTGTGGACTACCACAGGGCCACAAGTAGCCTACTGTGGACTACCACAGGGGCTACAAGTTGCCTACTGTGGACTACCTCAGAGCTACAAGTAGCCTACTGTGGACTACCACAGAGCTACAAGTAGCCTACTGTGGACTACCACAGGGGCTAGGAAACATAACTTCTTGGGACTAGCTCAGGGTTAGAACAAATATTTGGTTGGTACTAACAAATGCTTATGACACGTGCCTGCTAAGTGCTAACACATGCCTCCTGTTGTGTACTACATAGCAGGCATAGAAGTACCAGAGGTCTTCTCGAAGGACTACCAGAGGGCTAATGTGCAACACAGAGATGGGGCTTCTCACCAGTATGACGGTGCGAGCATCAGAGTAGAGGGCCCGGGCTATGGCTACACGCTGCCTCTGCCCTCCTGACAGGTTGATGCCTCTCTCTCCTATCTGCGTCTGGTCTCTGCAACAAGGCGCAGCTGTTATAATTATTGTTGATCTCCTCCTCCTCCAAGCAAAACGTTGGAGATGGTGACAAGTGATGGTGGTGGTAGTGATGATATCGATGATGATGGAAAGGAGGATGACTGTAATTGTAAACATTTCCCGGGTCTATATTTTAGCACAGGGGAAACAGGGCTACAAGTTGTAGCCCTGTTAATCAAATCAAACTGAGCTTTTTTCACATTCTCAAGTCGATTGTCTCAAGATAATCGACTTGAGAATGGTCCAGGACGGACCGAAACGTCGTCGTCCCTTCACCTTCTAATGTGTGGTCTGGTCAACTTACTTTAGCCACGTTATTGTGACTCATCGCCTGCAAACTGAGCTTTTTCTTTCTGTAGGATGCTACGTCAATGCGAGGATCAGGGTTAAGAGAGGAGCAGGACTCACCCAGCAGGAAGGATCTCTATATCAGGCGTGAGGGCGCAGGCTTGTAGGACCCTCTGGTACCGCTTGGCCAGGACCCGACGACCGAACACCACGTTATCCTTGAGGGTGGCGTTCATCAGCCACGGATGCTGCGACACGTACGACACCGACATCTCCCTACGGAGGAGGCAAGGAGGCTACACTTCTGGGGAGAAAGCGAGAAAGAAAAAAGAAGAGAGGAAGGATGTGGGGGACAATGGGGGGGTTGGAAAGGAGATGTCTGCAGGAGGTGGATGAGAGGGAAGAAAGATGAGGAAGGGAAGGAAGGAAGGAAGGAACTATGAGGAGAAAGCGCCAAGCCAATACGACTATATAGCACTTGGAAGGGGTTAGGATAAGGATTAGGGGTGCGACGAGGAAAAGGAAGGGAGTAAATGGGAGAGATAAAGTAGGGACAACAGTAGTCCCGGAGATGGATTTTGACTGGATAAGTGAGGCATGTTGGTGCTGGAGTAATAGGAGTGAAGATAACTGAGAGAGAGGATCATGATTACATTGTATCTGTTATTCTATCTCTGCCTTTATCATGTCTCTGCCTCTCACTTATTTATCTCTCTCGACCAATTTTTCCTCCTACTGATACATGATCCAGTCTTCCATCGGTCCTTACTTAAATTCCATAGCCCCCCGATGGCTTCGTTAGCGGCCCCGTCCCTTGACCTCTGGTGAAAATTGCCTTACCAACACCATCACAACTTTATATTCCTCAAACTTGGCCTCTCGTTCGTCTCTCCACCCTTAGTCCCATCCCCCTTTCTCACAAATATATTGCTTCCTATTCCAATATCTCACAAATGCATTGCTTCCTATTCCCCTATCTCACAAATGCATTGCTTCCTATTCCCCTATCTCACAAATGCATTGCTTCCTATTCCCCTATCTCACAAATGCATTGCTTCCTATTCCCCTATCTCACAAATGCATTGCTTCCTATTCCCCTATCTCACAAATGCATTGCTTCCTATTCCCCTATCTCACAAATGCATTGCTTCCTATTCCCCTATCTCACAAATGCATTGCTTCCTATTCCCCTATCTCACAAATGCATTGCTTCCTTTTCCCCTATCTCACAAATGCATTGCTTCCTATTCCCCTATCTCACAAATGCATTGCTTCCTATTCCCCTATCTCACAAATACATTGCTTCCCATCTCCCTTGTCTCAGCCATACATTGCTTCCCATCCTCAATCTTACCCATGCATACATTGCTTCTCATCTAGTACCCTCATTCAAATGTTCACATTTCTCTTCCCCAAACTTACCCCATCCAGCGCAGCTGCCCCCTGAGAGTGTGCATCTCCCCCAGCAGCGCCAGGAGCAGAGAGGTCTTGCCCGAGCCCACTCCGCCCACCACCACCGTCAGCCCTCCTGAAGGGAAGGTTAGGTAAGGTCATTATCCGGTTAAAGTGTTGTCTTTGTCGCTCTATATAGCCCTTGGAAGCAACATGAGGATAGAGTGGAGGCAATATGGTGCCTCACGACATGCAGAGACCATTGGGGATCGAACGCAGGCTCTGCAAGAAGCAAGACTGCCGCTGTACTGATTATAGTCTAAAATGGAAGGACTAACTAAATGGAAACAGAGAGGTGATGTATCTCAAATATCAGAGTTAGTTATATCAACATGTCTATCAACATGTCTATCTACATGTCTATCTACATGTCTATCTACATGTCTATCTACATGTCTATCTACATGCCTATCTACAGGTGCATTTTACCTATTAAGCACCAAAATGCAACTTAACCGCTCAACAAGAACAAAAAGAAACTCACCAGCAGGAACCTCAATGGTGATGTTCTCGAGGACTGAGAGGTGGCCCTGGTGCTCCCAGGTGAAGGTGCCACTCTGGATGGTGACTGCCACGTCCCGCCCGTCTAGCGTGCCACGTGCCCCACCTGCCCGGGGTGACAACACAGGGGGGGGGGGGGAGGGGGTCAGTGTTGGTGCTGCTGCAGTGTTGCTGGAGGCGAGTGTTTTGTCTTGCTGTTGTGTTGCTTGTGTGTGTGTGTGTGTGTGTGTGTGTGTGTGTGTGTGTGTGTGTGTGTGTGTGTGTGTGTGTGTGTGTGTGTGTGTGTGTGTGTGTGTGTGTTCCAAATCTCGGTTTTGTTTGGTGTTATCGATGATTTTCGTCCTGTCAACCTATTTTCAATATTTGTGCAGCATGCATTTATCAAGATATAACGATTTCGATATACATAGATATATATACATATATATCGATATATATATATATATATATATATATATATATATATATATTATATATATATACATATATATATATATATATATATATATATATATATATATATATATATATATATATATATATATATATATATATATATATATAGTGATAATGTCAGATCACGAAGGAAGGATTAAGACAGGAATGTCCTTAAGTGCTTTCGTATTTAATAATACGTCTTCAGAAGGAACATGTGGATGATGGTCCTTCTGAAGATGTATTATTAAATACGAAAGAACTTAAGAAATTCTTGTCTTAATCCTACATTCATTGTCTGACATTGTCATTGTATATATATATTATCATAAATCCCATGTCAAATGGTCGAAAATCCCTCTTAAAACACTGCTTCTTACCGTTCTTTTGTCTCTTCCATCTCTCGAATTCCAGTTCTTCCTCAGAGTCACTGTTCAAAGTTGAGGTCATCGCCACATTCCCGTTTTCTCTGGTCAGGGCGGACTTCTTCGAGGCGGTCGACGCTATAGAGCACGAGGAAGCTGGCTGCAAGGGTATTCTGAACTATTTTCTAATATTCTAAATGGATGTTTTAAATTTAAAAGACCTTTTAGAATTAAATAGGATTTGAAGTGATTCTGTTACCTAGAGGTATAATGAAATAATTTGTAGGGGTAATATGATTTAAAAATGGATTAATTTATTTCCAAGAAAATGTTTGAGACAGTTTTAGAGTGCTCTAATTTGAGAAAAATACAACTTCAATTAAAGGTGAATAAAAAGAACGGATATACAGATATGTATATCCTACTTTATGGGGTGTATAAACTGAGAATTTACTTTTGTCTTGAACTTTCATCAGGAATAAAGTTTATGTGCAGGAAGGTCAGTAAGCAAACTGTACTCTTAATGACCTTTGTGGTTGATAGACCCCAAGTTCTAGCACGCCACCCAACACACCTTAGAGTAGAGCAGCCCAGTGACTGTATTAAGAAGCGATATTCCTTATAGCACAGTTAGAGAGGATAATATCGAAGAAGATAATTGTCTTGGTCTTCAAACTGTAAACTATTTGGATAATAAGAGAGTGAGATAACGGGTTGTTTATATAGTAGGATATGAGAGGAAGGCTATCCAAGCTACACTAGAGAGAGAGAGAGAGAGAGAGAGAGAGAGAGAGAGAGAGAGAGAGAGAGAGAGAGATGAGAGAGAGAGAGAGAGAGAGAGAGAGAGAGAGAGAGAGAGAGAGAGAGAGAGAGAGAGAGAGAGAGAGAGAGAGAGAGAGAGTATAACACCTCACCACATGACTCACCCTACTCTCCTCAGTCACCCTAGAGAGTCGAGAGGCCTTGGCATCACCCAGCGGTGGTTCCTCCCTGTTGAGTGTCCTGGCTCCCGCAGCAGCCATGGGACCTGCTACCCTGGCACCACCACCACCACCTCTGACACCACCGCCCTTGGCACCACCGCCCTTGGCACCTCCTCTGGCCCTATGAACCCTCAAGGTGATAGGGGTTTTGGGTGTCTTAGGGCCCTCAACCTCAGGACAACTGAAGTACTCCTCCAGGCGACGGATGCTGTTCTGTACAGAAGAAAAAGGGAACATGTTAACTCCAACCTTAACTCAAATGACTCAAATTCAACTCGAGAACTGGTAATATTGATCAGGAACATTAATAACATCTCCAGCTGCATTGTCGTGAATGTGGGGTGAATGTTGTGAATGATTTATGTGATCTGTGTGTGTGTGAATTCATCATTCATTATGCAAGACAGGATGACGATAGGAAATTCTTGCACGCGTAGAACTTCAGGGTAGATTTTTCCCTTTTTTTTTAGCGTGACATTCTCGATGTTGCATCAGCAGCCTTAAAATACAACACGATACAATGAAAATATATTGGCAGTGTTTAGATTTAGGAAAGACCTGGGTCTGAATACTGGTTTTGTAAACCCGCTGCTCAGTGGAGGGACAGTTAGACTGTGTCGAGGGGCAAGGACCGTGATGGCGAGATGTGCACATGGAAGCCAAGGCACGTGCAAGTCAAGGCACGTGGAAGTCAAGGCATGTGGTAGTCAAGGCATGTGGTAGTCAAGGCATGTGGAAGTCAAGGCGTGTGGAAGTCAAGGCATGTGTTAGTCAAGGCATGTGGAAGTCAAGGCATGTGGAAGTCAAGGCATGTGTTAGTCAAGGCATGTGTTAGTCAAGGCATGTGGAAGTCAAGGCATGTATTATTCAAGGCGTGTGGAAGTTAAGGCATGTGTTAGTCACGGCATGTGGAAGTCAAGGCCTGTGGAAGTCAAGGCGTGTGGAAGTCAAGGCATGTGGAAGTCAAGGCATGTGGAAGTCAAGGCGTGTGGAAGTCAAGGCATGTGGAAGTCAAGGCATGTGGAAGTCAAGGCATGTGTTAGTCAAGGCGTGTGGAAGTCAAATCATGTGAAAGTCAAGGCGTGTGGAAGCCAAGGCATGTGGAGGTCAAGGCATGTGAAAGTCAAGGGCTGAAAGAAATATATGAGCTGCGAACTGTTGTAATATTATTAGGCCAAGATCGAACAGAATGAATAAAGAGTGCAAACATCTTTGGATAAAAAAAAAATCTTCCTTGTTATATTTGCCTTTATTTCTGAACCTTTTGACACGAGGATCTATCGGTCGATGGATCTATCTATCTATCTTCCTATATATTTTAGAAGATAGGATCTATCTTCGTCATACTGACGAAGCCAGTTAATTAAACCAGTGCATGCGATCGTTTGGTCATTAACCCTCGATCCTTAGTTCATGGGAATAGCCAATAACACTACCAGATGGGACGAGGCCAGCTTCCCGTACCAGCTGGGACAAGGGGCCAGCTCCCCGTACCAGCTGGGACAAGGGGCCAGCTCCCCGTACCAGCTGGGACAAGGGGCCAGCTCCCCGTACCAGCTGGGACAAGGGGCCAGCTCCCTGTACCAGTACTGGGACAAGGGCCCAGCTCCACGTACCAGTACTGGGACGAGTACTGGCGCGCCTCACCTTAGCCCTGATGGTGTGGGAGACGATGATGGGGAGGATGAAGAGAGGCACCGTCAGCTGGTTGAAGAGGGCCAAGCCGGAGAAGACCCGGGCTGGCTCCAGTGCCGTTCCTTCCATCCACGAGTAGAGGCCAAAGGTCACCAGACTCACCACCACCCCTGACCCCTGAGTCAGGAACGCTGGCGGGGAAGAATGCCGGATTATGAGAGAATCAAAAGCAAAGATTTTTTTTTTTACATTTTGCTGCCCCGAAGAGCGTGTTTATGGGGCAGTGCCACTCATCCTGAGAGTGAACATGTGGCTTGTAGGGAGAGAGAGAGAGAGAGAGAGAGAGAGAGAGAGAGAGAGAGAGAGAGAGAGAGAGAGAGAGAGAGAGAGAGAGAGAGAGAGAGAGAGAGAGAGAGATGAAGAGGGGGAGAGTGAAAAATATATACAGAACAGACATATAGACAGAGGGGTAAACAGACAGAGAGAGACAGACATTCAGGTGCCATTCCAATTAAATCTTAAGCTCAATTTAAAGATTAAAGTGAGGCAAACATTATTTTCCTTTTCCAGATCATAGACTGTATCTTTACATGAAAGAGAAAACAAACATAAATAAAAAATATGATGGACACAGACTGTTCTTCCACTCATAGCTAGCACACGTCTGACTAAGAGGATAGTAGACATAGAGACATAGATCATTTGGAACTCCTCAACTGAGCAAACAGAACAAAGTACTAGACAACAGAGACAAAAGGGAAAGAAATAGACACGCATATAAATGAACAGATATCACCACACCAAGGCACAGGTGTCAGAGACACACACACACATCATCATCACACAGAGGGACAGATATCATCACATAGAGGGACAGATATCATCACATAGAGGGACAGATATCATCACACAGAGGGACCTATATCAGGAAAACTTACTTACAAAGGGACGAAGAGGAGACAGAGAGACACACATAAGAACACCAATGCCAAACATGAACCAGGAGAACCCACAGGGACTCACTGGGGGCACAAAAGCCACCCACCAGACGGATTTACTCACGAGGACACAGATGACAGACATAAACACCACTGGGAGGGAACATACTCATAAGGGCACGGAGGATAGAGTCTCGATGGAGAAGATCCAATTCCTTCTCCCTGACTCGCGTGATCCTCTTGACGAAGACATTCTCCCAGGCGTGGACCTTCACCAACTTCACCCCGGTCACCAGCTCGTGTGTCTGTCGCAGGCGCTCATCGCTCACATCCTGCAGGAGGAACTGGGTTAGTCGGTCCTGCCGGCCTGGGGGGGGGGGGGGGAGTACTGGCCTAGTTTATTGTTGTTTATGTACTCTCCCTACATGTTCCTTACTGGGTCGAGCGTTAGCTCATAAGCCTCGTTTAACTGGGTATACCAGTCGTTTAAAGCCATTCAACTCACTACACTCTCTCTCTCTCTCTCTCTCTCTCTCTCTCTCTCTCTCTCTCTCTCTCTCTCTCTCTCTCTCTCTCTCTCTCTCTCTCTCTCTCTCTCTCCTCTGACTCAAGTCGACAGTATGTTCTGACTCAAGAACTTAAGTTTGGCTAATGATTATAGCGCTAAGTATTACATGACACGATGATAATAATAATAATTGTTATTATATAATCTACATTTGAAGCATGATACATCGGACTATTAGTACATGCACAATGTAAATTATAAAAAAGCTAGTACTACTACTCATAACGTTTCGGCTATTATAGTAATTACTGATAAAAATCCCATTCCAGTCGTAACAATGTTAAAAGAAACATTAAATACATTACTAATTAAAACACTTACCAGGAAATTCTTATTGACAGCTGCGATCTTGGTACACAGGAGGAACTGTAGGGGTGTGAGCAGCAGTATGCCGACCACAGCCGCTGCCACAGCTGAGAGGCCCAGCTGCACCCACAGCAGCACCATGATCACTCCCACCTGCACACACCAGGGAAAGATAGTCACTGTACAGAACTACTGATGGTCGAAAGGCGGGGCTTAAGACCAGATGCTCGACCCTGCATGCACAACTAGGTGAGTACATGAGCAGTTTCAGTAAAAAGACTCAGTTGAATGTAGCGGATACATGTTAGCTTAGGGTTTTTTTCTGAATGTGTGGAAAAACATTTACTTAGGTTATAAACAAGTAGGGAAAATTTATGGGCCAACTTTCCCTTGTTTACGTCATTACAGAATATTGAAAGTTATTATGTGAGTACTTTGAGAGGGCTAATATTTCATAATACTGTCCTTAGAAGGAGAATTTAGCTTTGATAACTCTCTCCCTCCCACAGCACTGCATGACATCACATGGTAGATGATTGCTAAATGCATGCAAGTGCTCTAAAGAAGCACATTTAATCCCTATATAACAGAACATCTAAGTGGCTAATTTAGTCCCTGTTAGTGCTTTAAAAGTGTACGTTCCGTAAAAAAAAACCAGACATTCCGATGAGCTAGTCTAATGTGAAATAATAACAATAATAATAATAATAAAATAATAATAATAATAATAATAATAATAAAGCAAATAATAAATTTATATTTGTATAAAATACATTTCAAACATGACACAGTTCAGCATTCGTAGGTACACAATATAAATTGTATACAGTCATTCCTGCGTATGAGCACCGAATAGTATTTTAATAATAAAACAATTACAACAATGTTACGTTTACGTAAAAGGTATATGCATTAGTGCATCTCCACTGTTTGAAACGCAGAGAATTCGCACTCGCTGCTAAGAAATGCGCAGCACATAGAGCTAAACGTTAGGCAGAGCAGCACCGTACCTTGAGGGGAATGGCCCAGATGTAGTGACAGTGCATGAAGAAGGTCATGACATTGTCAGCGTCCTCAGAGCTCAAGTTGATGACGGCTCCGGCGTCCACCGCTCCTCCTCGAGGGGGACTTCCGCCTCTCTGATCGCCACCTCCACCTGGTATCTCTACCGCAGAAAAACACAGAACAACATTCCTTACTTCATAAATGGCGATATTTTATGTGTACCTCACGTATTTTTAATGCCACTAATTTACGTCATGTATTCAGTTTACCAACGTGATATTTTAAAATTTGGTTTCGGGAAAAGGGATTAACTACGTTAGTTGACCCTGAAATACATTTTCTTTGAAAAACAAGAACATTTCTTTTCTTTGATATTTTGTAGAGCAACTAAATTATATACACAGCAAGAATATTTCTACTCAGCAAAAGCAAGTATATTTATATTCAGTAAATGCAAGTATATTTATACTCAGCAAAAGGATGAAATGTGTACAAGTCTTCGAACTTGATACATTAATTGTAAGTGACTCTTGATCATCCTTAATTGGTCTCAACTCTATAAGACAAAACTAACATGATCGTGTCTGATGCTAGACACAAATACAACAAAATTATTAATGATGGTAACAGAGTCCATTTCATGTGGCCTCTATCTTATGTTAGCCTCCGAATGCATGATAGAGCTGATGAGTTAACCAAAGCATCTGCTTTTAAAGGAGAAATTGACTATAACCTTGGATTGTCAATAAGCAATCTGAGAGCTTCAGATTGCTTATTGATTTCAGATTTCAGATACACCGAGAACTTCAACAAAAATCTTGTAGATCTGAGGTAAAGTGAAATCGACACCAGTAATTCCATCTATCATCATACTATCATCATACTATCATGCAAGAAGAGCACACATCTAATAAAATCAGCAGACTTCTAGATGTTACTACTGCTCGGCTTAGACTGGGTTACAAATATCTCTGAGAATATTCATTATCTGCTGATGTAGACCTGACCAAATGTAAACTGTCAACAAAATTATTCGCACACCCTCCGTTACTATGTGATGGAGTGCGAAAAGATACGTGAGTTCAGAGACAAATCTATAACAAATGTTCCAGAGATGTGTAAATATTTCATTCAAAATGATCTGTTGCGAGAAGTCTTGGCCAAATATCCCAGTTTGCTAACTGTAGGTAGTAACTGAGTGATAGTAACCTATCCACCACTGCCCACTGGATGGGGGAGGGGGGGGGGCGGTGTGCAGGTACTCCCCCCACGTACCCCCTCTCAAAACACCCCCCCACGCACTCCCCCCCCACATAACCAGCCCGTCCTCCTAGGGTTTCCCAACGTCAAGAAAACGGTCAATTTAAAATATCCTCTCCTAACCTACCAGAGAACCCAAGACAGAAAACGGGACAGTACGTCACTTTCGCCAGCCGTTGCCATTTCCTAGCACGACAATTTTTGGCCTTGAGTAACGCATACGAGCGAAAAAAACGACGTTCTTTGTTTTGTTTTCTTGGGACAGGTTGCATAACACCGACGCCAGTACTCACTCTTAGAGTCCCCGTTGTGACTCGCCGTCTCCTGCGTGGCATGGTCCGGAGGCTTGGGGTCGGCGGCGGGGCCACTGCAGGCCAGGCGGAGTGCCTTGCGATAGACCATGGCCTGCAGGGCGGCCTTCACGTGGATGCCCTCCATGGCGACCAGGTGGGTCGAAGCCTGGCTGAAGGTTGACTGGGCGAGGGCCGCCACCAGCGCCGCCGTAGCCACCACCCACCCGTTCCTCACCGCCTCGCTCCACCCGACGTAGTACAGCTGGGGAACAGAATACACACATACATATATAGATAATTAAATGTGGTTTAAGAGTTACACCTGTAAGAGGCGCAGCTCAAGGGGAAGTTGAGGGGTTCTTCTTGACTCTGATAGTGAATGGATAATTTATAATACTCTTACCGATGTTTGGATAATATGATTTTCACAGTGATTTAATATCAAAGAGTATTTTAGTTTCTAGATAAATGGGTTGATTTCTAGAGAGCTTAACGCTGCTCTTTAGACAAGGCTGACTCAAAGAATGTTATAGCGGGTTTCTAGAGAGTTAACGTTGATTTCTAGACAGGGTTGATTTCCCGACACCTAATTAGGACTGATTTATGGACAGGGTTGATTCATAGATACAGAGGTGATTTCTATAGTGGACAGATTCATAGCCAGCCATGGATATGCTTCACTACCTGTACCCATCTGCCTGTGCCTGCAGGAGTAAAGCATCAGCTGCTGGGTCCCGCCTCTCAGCTTTTAGGAGACTTGAGGTTTTTTCCCCCTAAACTCTTAGAATCCGTTATATTCTACTGAAAACCCATGCAGGCGTCTTCCTTCACTCCACCGGTCCACTCCACAGGTCCACTCCACCGGTCCACTCCACAGGTCCACTCCACTGGTCCACTCCACTGGTCCACTCCACTGGTTCACTCCACTGGTTCACTCCACTGGTTCACTCCACTGGTTCACTCCACTGCTCCATTCCACTGGTTCAATGACTTGACACTGATAAAGCTATTCCCTATAGTTCCCATGGCTCGCTTGGATGCCTACTTTCAGACTCCAGCAGCGGGGTCTATAACAGTCCAACCCGTTCTCGCAAATTTAATAAGTCAATATTGACTTATTAAATCCACATAGGTGACATATTTACATAATAGATACCCTTAAAAAGATCCATAGAAAACACCGACCTTACCTAACCTTGTTAGTATCTTAAGATAAGCATTCTTATTGCTTCGTAATTCACAATTATTACCTAACCTATAATAGGTATAGGTTCAGTAATAATTGTAACACGAAGCAATAAGATGCTTATCTTAAGATATAACAAGGTTAGATAAGGTCGGTGTTTGCTATGAATCTTTTTAGGGTATCTATTATGTTTAGTATATCTATGCACGTAGTCTGGATGACCAAACCACCAACCAGGAGGGCTGTTCAGAGACCAGGCCGCGGGAACATTGATCCCCGGAACCAGCACAAGGCAGTTTACATCCCCATCGTTCTTAGTGTCTCCCAACGGGTCTCCAATGAACTAAACGGTCGCGTTGTACTCACTTAATTGTATTTGCGGGGGTTGAGCTCTGACTCTTTGGTCCCGCCTCTCAACTGTCAATCAACAGGTGTACAGGTTCCTGAGCCTACCGGGCTCTATCATATCTACACTTGAAGCTGTGTATGGAGTCAGCCTCCACCACATCACTGCCTAATTAGTGGTACACTCCAAACGACAGGGGCCCCAAACAAGGGGAAAAAAGGGAAAGAGTAACTGTGCACTCCCTAACCTAACCTGCCCTAGGCCAGAATAAACAATCCTAGGCCTAAAATAAGCCATCTTAGGCTACATTTAGTGCATATATGGGTTATACTAGGCCTAGGAAAGGTTACATTTGTCTGTTGAGTAAACGCGTGTACGTCCAACCAGCACGTGTGTACGTCCGACCAGCACGTGTGTTCGTCTGATCAGCACGTGTGTACGTATGACCGACCAGCACGTCCAACCAGCGTATCGTCTGACCAGCACGTATATACATCCACGCACTCTGACCAGCACTTATATACGTCCAACCAGCACTTATATACGTCCAACCAGCACTTATATACATCCAACCAGCACTTATATACGTCCAACCAGCACTTATATACGTCCAACCAGCACTGGGTGGACTAGTATACACAGGCGTGGATGGACTGACTGGGTACCTTCCCCCCCCTCACCTGCCTGACGAGGACGCCGTGCCGCTGAAGAGTCCCGTCCTGCACCTGGCTGACGTAGGAGACGATCAGGGCGATGGCCAGCGGCCCCACCACGTTGACGGCGTCGCCAAGGAGCTTGAAGGCGCCTCCCGCCGCCATCTGGCGCCAGTACGTGTGTGTCAAGACCCTCCACAGCGGCGGGGACCTCACGTCCCAGCCGACCTCGTCTGGGTTGCTGCAGCTCATCTGCGGCGGGAGGAAATGGGAGAAGGGAGGAGGAGGAGGATGATGATTTTCGCCTTGCAACTCTGCAACGCGTGTCATCATGCAAAAAAAAAAGGTGTTTCAAAGGTATGGTGATTATGAGAGAGACCGCGCTAACTAGTATGTTTATATAGCATGTACAAAACATGTGAGAACAGGAAGGTGGAATATGAGGACAAGAAGCTGGGATATGAGGACAAGGAGCTGGGATATGAGGACAAGGAGTTGGGATATGAGGACAAGGAGCTGGGATATGAGGACAAGGAGCTGGGATATGAGGACAAGGAGGTGGGATATGAGGACAAGAAGCTGATATATGAGGACAAGAAGCTGGGATATGAGGACAAGAAGCTGGGATATGAGGACAAGAAGCTGGGATATGAGGACAAGAAGCTGGGATATGAGGACAAGAAGCTGGGATATGAGGACAAGAAGCTGGGATATGAGGACAAGAAGCTGGGATATGAGGACAAGAAGCTTGAATATGAGGACAAGAAGGTGGGATATGAAGAGGGAGTGAAGGAACGGTGCCCAACCACTTAGACCATCGGAGATCGAGCACCGACCCTGCAAGAGTCAAGGTCGTCGCTGTACCGATCAATGCAAGTTGTTGGACACAGGTTAAATGGCTACCTGGCCTTCCAACTGCTCCCCACTCAAATCCCCTTCCACACACCCATGGGAAAAGAAAGACTACAATGATCTGAGACCACGCACGCGAATATCATTGGAAGGTTCACTCTGTACACAGGTACAGACAGGTATAGCCAGGTACAGCCAGGTACACAGGTACAGCCAGGTACACAGGTACAACCAGGTAGACTCACCTGGGTCTGAAGGTAATGCTTGAAGAATCTCTCGTACTGGAAGCGGGATTCCTCCTCCCTGGGCAGCCTGGGGTCAGAGACGACAGGTAATGATGACCACTTCTAAATAAACACATCATCCATGTTACACATTCCTGTAACTTACACATGCACAGGCGATACAGAGTCAAGGGCACAGGCACACAAACCCACACATGTGCACGAAAGCACACTACGGCACCTTGCGCGCACACACACACACACACACACACACACACACACACACACACACACACACACACACACACACACACACACACACACACACACACGCAGAGCATGTGCTCCCCACTCACCCATTACCGTTCCTCTCCCTTAACCCAACAGTAAAAACGACATTGACTGCTGCAGCCTTTTCACCACTCCACCTACGACCCCACCTACCCACTCCTCCCTATTTCTAGGTGGTAACTAGGTCCCATCTACTCGGTTTTTTTTCACATATATAGCTACATCTGCATTTACTCTAGACTACATGAATGGTTACACAGTGTCGAAAAAACAAAATTAAAATCCCGCATCTCACAGGATGGTTAGTCGTACAGGGTCACGTGATGCGCAGTCTGCTCTGGCAATGTGAGGATATCATCAAGAATTCAAGAGTTAATAAAGTGATTCGGAGCTCCTGGTACCTCATATTGGCGGGTCTGAGGGGGGTATAATTTCCTGGCATTGAGTGGTGTAGTATAGGAGATCATGCCGCAGTTCCTGCTCACAGAGTTTGCACCTGGAGTGCTCAGGATTGGGAGATCCGTCACCTGTAGCCACCTGCCACAGGTAATGGTAACCCGACCTGATCTTGGCAACCACTGTGTCGCACAGTCTGGTCGACGTTTTGTGCAGCCCATAAATATAAGTTTCAGATCTAAACAAACAGATTTTTATACGGAACTCAAAAATACCATTATTCATAAATATATCTTTTGCACTCCATCACAGTGACGGAGGGTGTGCGAATAGTTCTGTTGACAGTTTACAGCTCCGGAAAGATGGGGGAATTGAGAGAGAGTAGAGGATATAAAGCTGGATATTATACGTGCTCTTGAAAAGTAAAATCACAATTGATAACTGATGCAGTTTTACCTTGACGCAAGGCCATGGATGACTATATTCCATTCACCCGGGCTCTAGGAGTCTCGAACCGTGTACATCCTCAGGAAAGACAGAACAACAGTACGATGCAACAGTACGCAACACTGTGCAACACTGAAGCGATACACGCGAGCAACGCAGCAACATAAACCCCACCTACATCACCTTACCATCACAGCACCACGCTGCTGCTGCTGCCTGGCCACCACACTCCACCACCCGGAGGCCACAGCCAGGAGACACAGGGCCAACCTGGCAGAGTAGTAACACAGGCACCACAGCAGGACCCGGGGCCACCAGCACACCCAGCAGCGCCTCAACACAAGACTACACCTCAACTCCGTCTACGCTGCGTCGACCTCCGTCTCTGCCTCGCGAATGTATTTTTCAACAGGAGACACTTCATCGCTCCTGTTCTTCTGCGCTCAACACTGTGGTCGTCGGGGGCGTCCGCAGCGAACACCGCCACCACAACGGAGTACTCGGGGCCTGACCCCTGTTGCATCGGCAGACAAATCACCTAGTTCAGTACCCAGGCTGACCGAACCATGCACCGGTTCCTCGTCGGAGACTACAGCAAACTCTCCCCGGGCCACTTGAACCCCGTCCAGCACGTCAGTGTTCAAGTAACTGTAGGCGTCGCCGACGTCCCGTTGCTCACGCAGCACCCGGCACCAAGGTCCCGGGTGCTGCGGCTGCGCCAGGCTTTCCTATACAGGTGTTTCCACCCCCGGACCTTCCCCAGACGCCGCACACGGAAAAAGTCTCCCAACGTGAATAAAAAACACTCAGGACCTTGCCCTACGGCACCGCTCCTGTGCCAGGTAAGTCCACTACGGGCTCACCATAGCCCGTGCTACTTGGAACTTGTTCCGAGTAGCTGAATCTATAACAACAACAACAACTTGCCCTACTGCCCAGTCACACACGCTCGTTTCCTCAGACATCTTAGAGCGAGCGTCGCGAACCGCCACAAACCTCATGTCTATCACTCGATTTCCTAACTGGCGTAAACAACCATTGAACGCTTAGTTGTTTCCAACCACGAGGCCGGGCCACTAGTTAACATCTGCAGTTAACCGCGGCGGTGACTGCGAAGCTCGCAATCACCGCCGCGACTGCGAGCTTCGCCTGCAGCACGTTGAAACCGGCCGCACTCGTGCTGGCGTGGGGAGCCTTGAACTTGAACCTGCTCCCGCCTGCGTTACACCGGCGGGAGCACCGGAGCAGTGGACCCCATGACTGTGTCTACAACTGGCGACCGGCAACTGTCAGGGAGCAGAGGTCAACACCGCCTGTGCAGGGAGTCCACGACGAAAATCAGGAACATCACCAGGTGTCACCGCACGCTACGGTGGCATCTACACATTCTACTAGCACACCCATGCTCCTTAGCACTCCCATGCTATTGCCACACCTACACTTCTTATGCTACTAGCATATCGCACACATTACTACACCTATTTTCCTAGCACATCCCCTCTCCTCCGCCTAGCACAGCAATGCCTCATATCCTAGTATGAAGATCCAGCACACCTACGCTCCATAGTACACCCTCGTCTAGCTTAAAATTACATAACACAGTCAGTGTTATGACTGGAGAGACAGTGCTCCTGCCTCTCCAGTCTTCCCCCGTGACTCCCAGTATACTATCACCCCCCCTAGTATATTTACCGGGATATGCTCAAATCACACACAAAAAGGCTCGAGAATGCTTGTTTTCTGTCAAAACCGAATATCTCGTTTGGTTACGTTGTATTAGCTTAGATTAGGCCGTGTTAGGCTCGGTTGGGTGGGCTTGGTTAGGTTGGGAAAGGGTAGATAGGTCTTAAAATTTATTCTACTCTAATACTCACAAAATCAACATAATAAATATATTAACAATAAATAAATAAGAATTTGTGAAAAAAAAGTTGTACTTTGATGAAAAACTTACTTGCCGAAGTCTGAGAATTCGAGAGGGCGCTGCCAGCCGAGTCTAAGAACATCGAGGAACCAGACGAAGGTGGCGCGGGACGGCACGCCCACCAGCGGGTGACGGTAGGTCACGCCCACGCCTCCTGCCCCCACGCCCACCTCCTCCGCCCCAGGAGTGATCTCCAGCACCTCACAGTGGCGCTGCCGGTACGTCTGTGGGCAGCAAGTCAGTGGTTGTAAGGAAGACGGTAGATGACGGGAAGAAGGAGACTACCACAATCTATCACAGACCACCACAGTCTACCACAGTCTACCACAGACTACCAGAATCTACCACAAACCACGACAACCAATCACAGACAGCAACAATCTAACAAAGACCAGGAAATATTACTACGGACTACCACACTCAACCACACACCACCACAGCCTTCGACACTCAACCACACACACCACAACAGACTATACCAAGGACGCCACAGTAGACCTTACACCACCATCGGTTTCAGCAGATAAGGCACCCACAGACCATCAAGAACTCCACAAGATATCCAATACAGCTACCACAGACACACACACACACACACATCCATCTCAGATTACTCCAAATTGCTACAGACCGCCAAAATCCACCACAGATAATAAGTGCACTTATATATAGATCACCAACTTAGGGCAGACCGCCATAGACCACAAACAGCCACAGACTATTTAAGACCGTTAAGAACCACCATTTATACCGCCACAGACGACTAGAAATTCTAAAAACCTCCCAATCATCACCGAAGACGTTTACAGACCGCTATAAGATCACCAGAGATTTCAAACATTGTCCAACGCCACCAAAGACCGTCACAGATTGGAAAGTAACTGCACATAGACAGCGACAATCAGAAACTCCCAGATTACCAGAGAGATCACAGACCATTACAGACGATCTGAATGGCGTAAGATGAGTGGCGTTTCCTTCCTCTTAACTCCAGGACGAGGCTTGGGGCTCTGTGACGCTGCTGCTTCACTCTCTGTCTGTCTGTCTGTCTGTCTGTCTGTCTGTCTGTCTGTCTGTCTGTCTGTCTGTCTGTCTGTCTGTCTGTCTGTCTGTCTGTCTGTCTGTCTAACCTCTAGAAATTTAACTAAGCTTAAATACCCGATAAACAAGGTCACCTGGTTTGGAAATAGGAATGTAGCTTTATAGGTTGTTTCAAGAGTAGGTTAGACATATATATATCTGAATGAGTTTGGGTGGATATCAATAGGAGCTGCCTTGTATAGGTTAAGAGGAGCTGCCTCGTATGAGCCAATAGGATTTCTGCAATTTAATGTATTTTCATGTTCACACGGTCTATCGAGACCTATTTGCCAGAGGTTAACGACCTAACGACTACAATCTTCCTGGCTCGCACGATCACTGCTTAACCACTGAACAGAAATATAACATGGAGCATGAATTTACAGCACAAAGGGGAAATTATACGACACGTTTTAATAAATACTTAAAACAGTAGCACAAAAAGAGACATGGTCAAATGACAACGAAAATATATAAATAAAAATAAATAACACACAAGAACATCGATCACAGAACACGAACAATAACAAAGTATATATGATATTATAAAGCAGCATGGCAGAGGTGTGTGTGTGTGTGTGTGTGTGTGTGTGTGTGTGTGTGTGTGTGTGTGTGTGTGTGTGTGTGTGTGTGTGTGTGTGTGTGTGTGTGTGTGTGTGTGTGAGTGTAATTACAGGTTGAGAGCTACGCTGGTGGTGCCCCGTCTTCCCAGTACTCTTTATCGTATAACACTTTGAAGCTACTCACAATATTGGCCTCTACCACCTTCTCACTTAGCTTGTTCCAGCCGTCCACCACTCTCTTGACAAAAGAAAACTCTAGTGTTTTTTTTCAGCAGATTTGTTTCCATACTTTCAACCTATGACCTCTTGTTCTTTAAGCTACAGTTTCCAAAATTTATTCTGTCAGTCTTGTCGATTCCTTTTACTATTTTGTTCATTGTGATCATCTCGCATCTGTTTTTTTTTATCCTAGTTTTGTTATATTTAATCCCTCTAGCCTCTGATTTTAGTTCTTGCTTCTCAGTTCCGAAAGACATTTTGTTGCATGTCTATTAACCATTTCCAGTTTATTAATGTGCTTCTTCAGATAAGGGCATGATACAACCGCTGCATATTCCAACTTTGGTCACCTTGAGGTTACCTTGAAGTGCTTCCGGGGCTTAGCGGCCCGGTCGTCGACCAGGCCTCCTGGTTGCTGGACTGGTCAACCAGGCTGTTGGACGCGGCTGCTCGCAGCCTGACGTATGAGTCACAGCCTGGTTGATCAGGTATCCTTTGAAGGTGTTTGTCAAGTTCTCTCTTGAACTCTGAGAGGGGTTGGCCAGTTATGCCCCTTATGTGTAGTGGAAGCGTGTTGAACAGTCTCGGGCCTCTGATGTTGATAGAGTTCTCTCTCAGAGTACCTATTGCACCTCTGCTTTTTAATGGGGGTATTCAGCACATCCTGCCATGTCTTCTGGTCTCATGTGATGTTATTTCTGTGTGCAAGTTTGGGACCAGCCCCTCTACTATTTTCCACGTGTAAATTATTATGTATCTCTCCCGCCTGCGCTCAATAGAATACAGATTTAGGTTCTTTAGTCGATCCCAATAGTTTAGATGCTTTACTGAGTGGATTCTAGCAGTAATGGATCTCTACACGCTCTCCAGGTCAGCAATTTCTCCAGCTTTGAAACGGGCTGTCATTGTGCAGCAGTATTCCACTCTAGAGAGCACTAGCGTCTTGAAAAGGATCATCATCGGTATAGCATCTCTAATGTGAAAGGTTCTTGTTATCCAACCTGTCATTTTTCTTGCAGTTGTGACGGCTACTTTATTGTGTTCTTTAAATGTAAGATCTTCCGACATGAGTACACCCAAATCCTTTATATTGCCTTTTCGTTCTATCTTATGATTCGACTCTCACGAAGGTCGTAAACAATTTCTTTAATATTCCGCCATCCACATATTTAAAAGCGATTCTAAGGTCGGAAAGTGTAAAATATGCTCCTCGCACGATGGTCTTTATGAGGTCCTCGGGGGAGACCTTTCCATCCAGAACCAACATAAATCTCTTTCTTTATCAGATTTATTTAAAGCTTTTTTCAATAATTTGTAGGTCGTGTGTGATTTATTTTCTGGTATTCCACGCTCCATAATGTTGTAATTATTCCCATTAAATTCCATCTGCCAAGTGTTGTTCCATACACTTATTTTGGCCACGTGTTCTTGATGGGCATGATTATCGTCCGAATTTCTTATCATCACTTATCAGCTTAGCATCACCAGCAAACATGATCATATCATTCTGAATTCCTTCTGTTAGGTCGTTCATATAGACAATGAACATTTCTTGTGCTAGAAGTGAACCCTGTGATACTCCACTAGAAAAATATCTTCAGGTTGATACATTGCCTTTGATATCTGCCATAATTTTTCTGTCAGAATGTTTTTAGTCCTGACAAGAGATAGTCCTGATATATATTACTGATAGTAGTGTGACCCCCTACGGACATCAACCAGCAGATTATAAAATAATGTACTACAGAGCAAGAAGACGCCAACTTGGTCATGAAAATCTCTCCTGGCCCCAGACAAAACCTCTTGAGAGAGACCAATGTCGTCTGTGCCTTCACATGCCCACTTGGGGACTGTCAGCCCCAACAATCTTAATATATAGGCAAGACAACAAACATATCTTTCAAGACGCCTAACAATGCACAAACAGCAAGACTATCAAGGAACGTATAGTCTCTTCACATTAGTAGATCACCAGAGATGTCCTGACAAACAACACCAAAATAATCGACAAATACAACCACAATTTCAGGCTAGACATTGGCGAGGCATTATACATGAAGCAAAGCAATCAATCTATCTACAGCCAACTAACACCAAATTACACTCTACAATCTTCGAGAACAAGACGAAATATAGAATATACCGCCCCAGCCATCATGGAAACATAGGATATTGGTAAGTCCCAATTGCCTGTTGGCCCACAAGTGAAGGGTTTCACTTTCACCTCATCCTGGGCTATATATCCGGCAGCAAAAATACCTTGTGATGGCCCTCTGCAACCTGGTATCTTCAGGCCATTAAGTTAGACAGGCTAAATATCCTGAAAGGAATCCACAGAGAATTAACAGTTCGGTTATATAGACTTCGTCTAGGTTACAGATGCAACTGGGAAATTAGTGAACCCAGAGAGTGGGAATGCATCTTCTGCAGGTCAATCACAGAAGAGCCAGTACTTCACTATCTCCAGGAATGTGAAGCAAGAAAGGACCTTAGAAGAGCTTTAAGAGTTCCTGACTCTTGCAGTAACCACCCTGAAGTCATCAACACTGCCACTCTTTTGGTAATGAAAAGTGTCCAGCAGCTGGAGACACTCATTAATACCGTCAGGCAGTATCCTTCCCCGCGATAGCAGCCACATGGTAAGGACTGACGATTTAAATGTGAGCACAGCACGAAGTATATCCTCTCACGACCAATGATCACATTCACTCCAAAAAAAATCTATCACTTACGGGCTATTCGTGACCGTACCACCTCTTGGGTGGCGTAAATCTCCATCAATCAATCAATCACCTTGTAATAATTCGAACTCTGCCTTTGATAATGTTGACAAGAGTAAACGAAAAACCTCTCTTGGCGTCAAGGCCTCGATAAAATTGTGAAATGAACTTTGGAGAGTTAATTTTTCAACTTCTTTCTCAAGCGAAGAAAAACAAGACAAATAGAGAAGATTCAATCATTGACCTCATCCTTTGTGTCATATCCAGTAACATATATTTTTCTTGTTGAATGTAAAATATCTTTAAGAAAATGATCAGGTGCAATGCCAGGTGTTTTACCAGGTGTTTGATGACAGGTGTAGTGTCAGATGTGGTGCCAGGTGTATTAGCCAGTGTACTCACCCAGGTGAGGAGGGTCCAGAGGTCGACGAGGAAGAGGATGGCAGAGAGCAAGAGAGCGAGGGTGGTGAGTGTGGGGTAGACCAGCTCGAGGGGCACCTCCCCGCCCACCACCTGCCACGCCCTCACCACCCCCACGCCCACCCCGCCCGCCCACACGCCCACCGTCAAAACCACGAAGGCTGGGGAATGCCACGTCTCGATGACGTGGTAGAAGACCGCGGTGAGGAGGGTGGTGAGTAGGCCGACGCATGCGGCCGGTATCAACAGTAGGTGCGGCGCTGGCGACCTCCAGTACCGCACAGCAGCCTCCCCGCATGCGGCTACCTGCACCAGCACCAGCACCACTAGGGTGAGGACGCGGGCGGCGTGGGCGGGGAGCAGGTTGGGCGTGGTGTAGGGCTTGGCTCTCGTACACAGTCCGCGGTACAGCAGCACCAGGATGAGAACCCACGCCCACGCCCCACACACGCCCACAGCCAGCAGGTCGGGGGTGTCTGGGAGGTGCGGGGAGAGGAAGGGCATGGGCGGCGTGGGTGTGAGAGCGGCTAATCTCACCTTAACCGCGGTGAGGTTAACCTGCTCTGTCCGGGACGGCTGAGGCTGCGACAGGTCTCGAACCACGGACGCCAGAAACTGATTCACCACCATTTCCGTCGTCGCCGAGGTCAACAGGTCACCTCCGGTATTGGCATCTGACCCTACCTTGACCCGTGACCCCGAACTGCCTACCCCGGGCCATCCGGTGACATACATCATGAAAATATATTCACTTTGCCGTCGTCATTGTAACATTGGGCTCAAGCAAGAGTGTTGGTCCAGGCGTCGTAGAAAACGGGACAACATTCTGTCAAGGGGCGACTTTAGTATTCATGTTTTTTTTTTTGTCTCTTGCTTGAAAACCGTTCGAATACTTTGACTATTTTTTTCCATCGCTCCTTACATGATTCTGTAATTTAAGATTTTCCAAAACAACGTTTAATGTTTCAATTAATTTTCTAATGCTACTATATCTTCGTTCATTTTTACTTTAAGTGACAGTAAAGCTTTCTGGTAGTCTCTACCTCCAGATTACTGTCATGTCTGAAGGCTGTCAGGCAACTCCAAGGTGACACTGTAGGAGCCGCTGCTGCGTCACGGGATGTGCTGTCACTATCATTCATAAGACACAGTCCTCTACATGACACTATTATTTATTTCTGTTTATTTACATATATACAAGAGTTCGTACATTCTTGTACAGCCACTAGCACGCATAGCAGTTCGGACAGGTCGTTAATCCTAATTTTTCCCTGCAATACGACCAGCCGAATCGTTTAACAACCAGGTATTCATTCACTGCTGGGTGAACAGAGGCGTACCGTTAAGGATTGGCGCCTAGTCAATCCTTCCCCAGCAGGATACGAACCCAGACCAAATCCGCGCTCGCGGAGAGCGGAGACAATGTCATATCATTGTACAAGGGAACTGCGTGTACTGGAATGACAGCCCTCTACTCGTCACACTCTGTCCGAACTTGTATGACACCGTTTGCACTCGTGTGGCACTGTCTCCACTCGTATGGCACTGTCAGCACTCAAATGACACTGTTTGCACTAGAATGATACTGTCTGCATTCGGATGACACTGTTCGCACTTGCATGCCACTATCCGCGCTTGTAAGACACTTTCTGCACTCTCGTACGCCACAGCTTCTCCTGAAACGAGATATGAGAATGTTAACTCCTTAAAGATTTATGAGATCAGTTTAAGAATATTATTGGCTTATATGTTGTTACAACTGCTGGAACTACAACTACTACTACAACTACTATTAATAATAATAATAATAATAATAATAATAATAATAATATGTATTAATCGAAGCCGTTCTCGCGGTCTTTGTGACAAAAACTAAAATATTTTCTCATAGATATGTTTTAACATGATTCACTGTGTGTGTGTGTGTGTGTGTGTGTGTGTGTGTGTGTGTGTGTGTGTGTGTGTGTGTGTGTGTGTGTGTGTGTGTGTGTGTGTGTGTGTTGCGACCTAGCCTAGTTCTCACCTCCCTTCCTGTTTTCTCTGTCCCTTCCCCTCTGACGGGTTCAGTGCATGGGTCATCAATCACCCCTACACTTACACCTCTCAAAGAGAACCTCCTGTTTTCCCCTTCACCGAAAGTGTCATTTGTCAGCCTCTGAGGAAGTGTAAGGTGTCAGCCTCTGAGGAAGTGTAAGGTGTCAGCCTCTGAGGAAGTGTAAGGTGTCAGCCTCTGAGGAAGTGTAAGGTGTCAGTCTCTGAGGAAGTGTAAGGTGTCAGTCTCTGAGGAAGTGTAAGGTGTCAGTCTCTGAGGAAGTGTAAGGCGTCAACCTCTGAGGAAGTGTAAGGTGTCAACCTCTGAGGAAGTGTAAGGTGTCAACCTCTGAGGAAGTGTAAGGCGTCAACCTCTGAGGAAGTGTAAGGCGTCAACCTCTGAGGAAGTGTAAGGCGTCAGCCTCTGAGGAAGTGTAAGGTGTTAACCTCTGAAGCACTCTACTAGATGTGCTTCTGCTTTGCCATTTCTTTTACTCATTTGTTTCTATAGTTTCCATCTATGTCTCTCCATTCTGTTGTTCCTAACATTGAACAATAGTTCTTTGTCTGCTGTGTTCATATCCGTTCTGTTCATACAGTATTTCCTCGTAGCTCAAGCCCTTCAGCTATGGAAGGAGCCTGATTATATTTATTTTGACCATGAGTGTGAGTATGTACGCGCGCGCGCGCGTGTGTGTGTGTGTGTGTGTGTGTGTGTGTGTGTGTGTATTTACTATTTGCATCTGTATAATCGAGCTATTAGCTCTTGGACCCCGCCTTTCTAACCAATTTATTTTTCCTCTATTATGTCTACTACATATATTTCTCTAACACACACACACACACACATCGCCAGGAAGCAGCCCGTAGCAGCTGTATAACTCCCAGGTACCTATTTATTACTAGGTGAACAGGTACACCAGGGTGAAAGAAACTCTGAGCATATGTGTGAGTGTAATAGTTCAAAATATTCTACTTCAAGGTTTTCTTGGAAAGGTAAACCTCTGCAAAGCTTCATATTTCATTTACCAACCACAAAATCGCATTTATTCTCGTCAGCCGATAATCATTCATTCCTTAGAATCCAGGTGAAGATGTAGTTGATGAGTCACAATAACGTGGCTAAAGTATGTTGACCAGACCACATACACTAGAAGGTGAAGGGACGACGACTTGAGAATGGTCCAGGACGGACCGAAACGTCGTCGTCCCTTCACCTTCTAATGAGTGATCTGGCCAGGTGAAGACATTTCCTAAACCCCAGACAGTTCCTTTCTCCCTTTTCCCAGTGTGCCATGACGCATCTCATCCGGACCGGTGATTATGAAAGACTTGCCGGCACATACTAGGGTGTGCCTTTCACTGTACATCCATACGCCAGTGACCTTGCTGAGAGGGTAGCGGTGGGCACTTCCTCAGGGTCACTGCCCCTCCGCTAGATTGACTACTTCCTGTTCTTGACGACTCGGGGGCCAAGGCTGAGGCTGGAGGCTCGTCACTCCGTGTTGGGTTGGAGGACATCTTGAAATAAATGTCTGATCTTCCTTCACGTTCATCTACGTATTGAGATATACTGAGACGTTAGGCAGATGTCACCTCATGATTCGTGTAGGAGATTATCCTGCAGGCTGGACTATGAGGGACCCTCACAAGAGGAAGGGGGGGGGTCTTTCTCGCCTCACAAGAGGAGAGATCAGAGGAGATGTGATAACAACGTACAAGATATTACGGCGCATATTGTACGAGGGACTACAAGTGCAAGTTGGAAATTCAAATGAATAAGACTTATAGGCAGGTCCTTGCCTATATATATATATATATATATATATATATATATATATATATATATATATATATATATATATATATATATATATATATATATACACACACACACACATAGGGAAAGATGAGGAGAGGGAGAGGAAGGAGAGAGCTGGCACCTGAGGGAGTGATTCAGAGCCTCTTAAAAGAGGTTAAATATAATTGTCTTAAGTAGGTCCAGGGAGAGACGGGTTTTATCTGTCTTCCTCTTTACTCTTGTTATCTGTATCTGTCTCTTCCATTTATTCTGTCCCTTTCTCCTCCCCCCTCTCGCTCTCCTGTCTTCCTACTGCCTATTCGCTCTTCCATCACCCCCCCCCCCCGCCTTCTACACTTCTCACTTCCCTTTTCTTTTCTTTTCTTATATTATTCCCAATACCGTGTCCTCTAATTATAACAATATCTCTTGCTCCTATCCCTCTCCCTTCCATCCCCCTTTCTGTCCTCTCCCCCCCCCCCCTCACATTCCTCAGAGAGAGAGAGAGAGAGAGAGAGAGAGAGAGAGAGAGAGAGAGAGAGAGAGAGAGAGAGAGAGAGAGAGAGAGAGAGAGAGAGAGAGAGAGAGAGAGAGAGAGAGAGAGAGAGAGAGAGAGAGAGAGAGAGAGAGAGAGAGAGAGAGAGAGAGAGAGAGAGAGAGAGAGAGAGAGAGAGAGAGCGTCAGCCACCAATTGCAATATCCTTTCTACAGGAATCCCCAATAGAAAACGGAAGTTGACTTTGCATAGTAATGAGGAGAGGACGGGAGAGGACGGGGTGTAAGGGGGAGAGGAGGGGCCACTATTGTAAACTACGTCACCACTATATTGGTCCTGGTTATTGATACTTTCCTGGTTGGTGTTAGGTACTGTTGCGTGGCGGGTGGTGGTGGTGCTGGGGGTGGCGTGAGGAACGGGAAAAGGTAACAATTAGTGAGAAGGAAGGTGACAGGAAGGGAAAGGGGGGGGGATATGAGGAATAAAAAGGTGGAAAGGAGGAGGGGAAATGGGGGAGATTGGCGGAGAGTAGGACCAGAGGGAGGGACGGAGGAGAAGGTGGTCATGGTGGAGGAGAAATTATCAATTAGTGGACAAAAATAGAACTGACGCAGTTTATAATAGTCCCTCCCCCTCCCATAATTACACAAGAGTAATCCCCGACAGTGTAAGGTAATTAGGATGGGAAAGGAGACCCAAAAAAAAAAAAGAATCTGCATCACAAGATGAAAAAAAAAACTTCAGGAATCGGGAAGAGAAAAAGATTTGGGAGTAGATACTATTCCAACACCAACAGAGAAGGCACACATAAACAGGGTAACATCAGCGGCATATGCGATGCTGGCAAATATTAGACCGGCATTTAAAAACCTCAGTAGAGATTTCTTACAGATAATCTTTATAACCTATCTTAGAACAACACTAGAATATGCAGCACCTTTGGAATCAGCCCATTTGGAATCAGCATACCCAAAGCAGTACAAAGAAAAATCTTGAAAAAAGAGAGAGAGAGAGAGAGAGAGAGAGAGAGAGAGAGAGAGAGAGAGAGAGAGAGAGAGAGAGAGAGAGAGAGAGAGAGAGAGAGAGAGAGAGAGAGAGAGAGGATAAGAAAAGAAGGACAGGGAGTGATAACTCAAGTGGCACCACGAGGCAATAGTCAGTGCCAAATGTCAACTTCTGAGTGCCAAGGGGGAGGAGGGAGGGAAGGAGTGGGGAAATGGGAGGGGGAGGAGATGGGGAAGATGACGGGCGGAAAGGGGAAGGGGTGTAAAGGGGGAAGAAGGGAGGGAAAAGGGAAGGGGTGAAAATATGTGGGTGAGAGAGAAGGAGGGAAAGAGAGAGAGAGAGTGGCGAGAGACAAGGGGAAAAAAGATACTTTAATTAAATTAATTGTTCAACAAGGAAGTCGAGTGAGAGAGTGAGAGAGTGAGTAGGTGGGCGAGTTGGTGAGAGAATGAGAGAGACACACAATGGGTGAGAGAAAATGTGTGAGACAGCGAGTGAATGAGACAGAAAATGAGTGAATGAGGCAGTGAGAGTGTGAGAGTGAGCGAGCGAGAATGAATGAGACACAAAGGGACTGAGAGTGAGAGTGAATGAGTGAGAGTTAAGAGAGCGTGAGAGAACCAGTGAGGTTAAGGATCAATTGCCTAGAATTGAAGGTCAATCTGTCAATATACTAAGAAATGGAAGTCTAGAGGTCAGAAGGTCAAGAGTCCGGGTCAAGAGTCAGGGTTAATGGTCGGCTGGTCAAGAGTCAGCGTTAAGGCTGAGAAGGTCAAAGAGTCGGGGTGAATGGTCAAAAAGTTAAGGGTCAAAAGGTTAAAGGTCAGATCAATTGTCAGAGATTATAGAGTTAAAAAACACACACACAAAAGAGTCAAGGTTAATGATCAAAAGGTCAAGAGTCAAGGTTAATGGTGGAAAGGTCAAGACTTAGGGTTAAACAGGACCGTAGTGCCAAGAATTGATTAAGGTCACCATGAGCTGATCTCAAAGGTCAATGTCAAGGGCCAGAAAAATGTTGGGGGAAAAACAGTGTTTTGAGTGTGAGTGTGTGTGTGTACTCACCTAGTTGTACTCACCTAGTTGTGTCTGCAGGATCGAGCATTGACTCTTGGATCCCGCTTTTCGAGCATCGGTTGTTTACAGCAATGACTCCTGTCCCATTTCCCTATCATACCTGGTTTTAAAATTATGAATAGTATTTGCTTCCACAACCTGTTCCTGAAGTGCATTCCATTTTCCCACTACTCTCACGCTAAAAGAAAACTTCCTAACATCTCTGTGACTCATCTGAGTTTCCAGCTTCCATCCATGTCCCCTCATTCTGTTACTATTCCGTGTGA